TCCGATCCAAGTCGAAGGAGACGTGCGACAAGTCGCGATCGACCGAACGGGTCGCTACCTCGCCGCGGCCGGGACCTCGCTGTGGGTCTACGACGCCACCCGCGGCGAACCGCTTCGGCTCGACGGGCCCGACGCGGCCAGTGCGAGCGGCGCCATCGCCTTCAACCCCGCCAGCGATTCGACGAATCCCGAGTTGCTCGCCGCCGGCCCCGGCACGGGCGTGCAGCGGTGGGAGATCGACGGAGACGTCGCCCGGCTCGTCGAATCGGAAGACCAGTGGCACCGCGAAGAGGTGACCGCCGTCGGCTACTCGCCCGACGGGCGGCAACGCTTCTCGGCGGACGGTGAGGGGCGGGTCGTGCTCTGGCGACAGCGCGACGGCGGGTGGCTCGATCGCGCGACGTTCGACCACAACCAAGCCCTCGGCGACTCGGCCGGCGTGACCACCGTCGCGATGACCGACGAACCCCGTGGCCGCCTCGCTTACGGGTGCGACGACGGGTCGGTCTACGAGTTCGCCGGCTGGTGGCTCGACCCGAGCGAGCGCCGCTTCGATCCGAAGCAGCCGGCGAAACAGCTCTCGACGGGCTTTGTCGACGTCACGCCCGAGCGGCTGCGAACGGCTCATCCGAAAGCCGTCAACGCCGTGGCCTACGCCGAGCAAGGGGCGACCGTCTTGTCCTGTGGCGGCGACACGCTGCTGGTCCGCCGAGCGCCTGGCCGTAGCGAACAGGAACGGTCATCCGAGTCGCAGCGCAAACAAGAACGCCGGTACCACGACGCCGAGGTGACGGCCTGCGTGGCCGGAACGAACGGCTTCGCTTACAGCTGCGACGAGAAAGGACGCGTGCTTCGCTGGAAGCTCGACGTCGACCCCGACGCGTTGACCGTCGAGCCAACGACGGGGACCGGCGCGGGCGTCGCCGCGATCCGCCTCCATCGTGGAGAGGACGGGGCCGTCTCCGTCGACGTCGCCGACCGGGACGGCTACCTCCGCCACTGGGACGACATCGACCGCCCCGCACGCTTGTCGGTCGGCTACGCCGGTCACGCCGACCACCGCAACCTGCGGGTCTGGTCGCTGCCCGGAGAAACGCCGCGACTCGTGACGGTCGCCGGCGACGGACGCGCCTGCGTCTGGAACGAGCGTGGCGGGCTCCTCGAACGCGTCATCGACCTCGGTGGGCGGACGACCGTCGCGGTCGACGTTGCGTCGGAGACGCTCTTCGCGACGACCGACGGCCAGCGGCCGAACGACGACGGCGCGGCCGGCATGGCCTACCCGCTCCGTGGCGGCCAACCGACGCCGCTGTGGCAGGCGGCAGTCCGCGCGACGCGGCTCACGCCACTCGGCGCGGGTTCCGTCGCTGTGGGACTACGAGACGGGCAGGTCTTCGTCTGGCGCTCTCGCGATGGCCGAATCGACCTCGTGCGATCCACGGCGCGGCCCCACTGGAGCCCGGTCCGGGCGATGAGCTACGACACCCAAACCGACGCGTTGTACACCGGCGACGAACTGGGCCTCGTCGTGAAGTGGTCGCTGCCTGATAGCAAGCCGGTCGCCACTCGGCGTCTGCGAGCCGAGAAGGCCACACCGATCGTCAGCCTCACCGCGCTCACCAACGGCCGGCTGGTTGCCGTGAAGCGGCGGGCCGTGGGGCTGCAAGCCGAGCTGCTCGACTCATCACTCGAACCGATCGTCACGCCGAATCATGCTGCTGACGGCCTCAAGACGCTGGCAGTCGACGCCACGTCAGGACGTTTGGTCGGCCTGAGAGAGACGGGCGGGCGCCTCTCCCTAGCCGTCTGGTCAGACGGAGACGGGTGGCGTGAGCCGCAAACAGCAGCGCCGATCGACGAAGCCCTCTCGGGCGCCTCGTTTGGCGCCGATCGCCTCTTCACGTGGGGCCGCCGCACCGTCTCGGCGTGGTCCGCTGAAAACGAAAGACTGCGACTGGCGAGCCGCGTTGTCTCACGACCGCCGACGCAGACGCTCCTCGGCGCCACCGACACGCTAAGCGCGGTGACCATGATCGGCTCGATCGATCGCTGGAGCGCGGGACGGCGTGACCTCCGCCAGGGCTTCTTGGGGGTCGACGCGCCGATCGTCGCGTCGGTCGTGGGCCCGGACGACGGCGAAGCCGTCGTGGCCTTGTCGCGTGGCGACTCGACAACGATCGAGGTGTGGTCGGTGGTGAATCGACAGCTCCGCTCGACGATCGCCCGAGAGCTGCCGGGCCGCTGCCGAGCGCTCGCGTTGGCGTCGAATGGGGTCGTCGCCGCGTTCGACGAACGCGTCGTGATCGCTTCGCTAGATGGCGATCGAACCGAGTCCTTCGCGCTGCCACCCGGCGACGGGCAGCCCCGGAGTGTTGCGATCACGCCCGAGGGTGACCGGGTCGTCGTCGTCAAAGACCGCGGCTTCGCTTGGCACGCCTCGCGAACGGCAAGGGACTGGCAGGTAACGCCGTTGAATCGTGACGACCTTTCCGCCGCCGCGTTCACACCGGAAGGCCTTCTGGCGGTCGGCGTCACCAGCGGCCGGGTGCTGCTATTGGAACTGGACGCGACCGATCCAGCTCGCACGACCACCCGCCCTCGGCTGACCTTCACCGGGCACAGCGCGCCCGTGACGCGGCTGCAGCTCACGTCGCTCAACGACGCCCCAACGCTTGTCAGCGGCGACGCCGCCGGCCGGGTCGTCGTCCGCAGCCTCTGACGGCACCGCTGGCGTCACCGGGCGTCCATCGCGTAGACTCCTGGCTCGCCGGTGAACTCCCCAGTGGGTTCACGGGTCACTTGGAGTGTCGCCCCCGCGATGCTCCCCCCGAGCCCGTAGCTCAGTCGGTAGAGCAACGGACTTTTAATCCGTTGGTCGCGCGTTCGAGTCGCGCCGGGCTCACTTCTTTCTGCTCTTCTGCCGTGTCGTTCCGCTTGGAGCGACATACGACTCCGTCCGCCGCTGACGGTTCGATCGGCGCAGGCCAATGCCGCACGGAACGGGTTACCAGTTGATCGTCATCGCCGACGACGAAGGCTTCTGCGACGCCCACGCAAGCGAAGCGGCTGCGCGCCGAGCGTTGCCCGGCCTGACCGTCGAGCGTGTCGTCCCGCTTCACGAGCACGAGATCGGCGCGTGGCTCGCGGCGCTGCGCGGTCGGCGGTGCCGCACCGAGCGCGACGTCCGCTCGACGCCCGAACGGCAGCAGGCAGTGGTCATCGACGCCGACCTTCCGGCCGACGCGTGGTGAGCGACCGCGTCACGCCCGCCGCGGAGTACCCGGGGCGCCGCTTAGGCCCTGCTGCCGATGTCGCTCGTGCGACTGACGGTCGGCAAGAAGCTGGCCGCCGCGCTCGGCGGCGGCGCCGTGGTCTCGTGGATCTCGTACCACGCCTGCGGCCGGTCTTCCACCGGGCTCTCGACCGGCCGGCCTTCGATCGCGCGTTGCAGCATCGTGAAGGCGTGCTCGCCGATCTGAGCCGTGTTTTGGCAGACGGCGGTGAGCCTCGGGACGACCACGTTCCGCGTGTCGGTGTCGTCGACGCACGCGACCGACAGGTCGTCCGGCACACGCACCCCGAGCCGCAGCGCCTCGTTGAGCGCGCCGACGGCGACCATCGGGTCGGCGATGAAGATCGCGGTGGGGCGATCCTTCCTCGCCAGGATCCGCCGGATCAGCGGCACGCCGTCGAGGCGTGACGGCGGGATTCGATAAACCAGCTTCTCATCGAACAAGCCCGCGTCCGTCAACACCTCCTTGTACGCCTGATAACGATCGAGGTGGTCTCCATCCTCCCGGTCGCACGTCGCGAAAGCGATCACTTCGTGGCCCAAGGAGACCAGGTGTTCGATCGCCTCGCGACTGGCGGCTCGTGAGTCGGCGTAGCAGAACGGCAGGGTCGGATGATCGAAGTGGTCGCCGAGCACGACCACCGACAGCCCTTCCTCCGCCATCTGGGCAACCTCTCGCCGCTGCTCGAGCGTCGACCTCACAATCGCACCGCAGACGCCCTTGCGCCGGAAGAACTGGGCGAACGACTCGTCGCTGTGACGGTCTCGCACGAAGTCGAGGATGACTAAGTCGTAGTCGCTCTCGCTTGCGTTCATGGCAGAGACGATTCCCTGCATGCACGCCGCGTCGTACGGCGAAGAGCCGACCCAGAACGTGTCCCCGTACAGCAGGGCGATCCGATCGGCGGTTCTTTTCCCGACCGTCGGCGAGTAGTTGCACTCGCTCGCCGTGCGCAAGACGCGGGAACGCAATTCCGGGGCGACCGACTGACTCCCGTTGAGGACGCGTGAGACGGTCGCCGTGGAGACTCCCGCGGCTTTTGCGACTTGTCGAATTGAGGCCATACCCGACGAAATCCTTCCGTTCATGATCGCCGCGCTGACGGCGGTGGTAACTGTTTCACCTCATGGTAATGCGCGACCGCGCAATAGGCAAACGTGTTACCCAAATGAAACAGACGACGAGCACCTCGATGCGCACACAGAAGGGCAAAACCCTGGTGAGCGCAATCCTTTTCCTGAATAGTTGACCCTTGTAACGGTCGTAGCTAACCTGAGTAACGGCTAAGGCAAATGTTACCGACGTGAGTCGGCCGCTCCTCACCCGCTGGCCTCAGCCTGTCCCGTTCGACGCGTACCGCTCCCCTGTTTCCCGGTCGGCTGATCGACCTCAGGCGACCGTCAGCCGTCCTCGGCTGGCCCCCTCTTCCCTTGGAGAACCTACGAGCGACGACGAGTCGGCCGCCGCTTCGCTCGCGACCGCGCCCCGTACGAGGAGGCGGGTTCGTCGGTCGCCGGCTGCTGACGGCCTCCTACGACGTCGGCGGGAACCCCAGCCTTCGCTCGGTCCTCTTCGGGGCTGGCTCCCACGAGCCGACGGCCACTCAAGATCCCGAAGGCAAAGACGCTCCTCTCATCACACGGAACTGAGCCGGCTCGCAATCGGGCGACGGCGGCGTTTCGACCACTTGAATCTAGGATACGACCTATGAAGACGCAGCTACATCTCATCGTCGCGTTCGCGCTGGTTAGCGCGGTCGCGTCTCCCTCGCACGCGGTGATCGCGGTTGGGCCGGTCACCAACCCGGACAGCGCCAACGGCGTCGGCACCTTCGGTGGCAACGGCGGCGCGGTGGTCGGCGTTGACGAAGACGCCGTCACCCCGCTCGGCAACGACATCACCGTCTTCACCCTGCTGCCCGGCCAGTTTACCGGCGGCGGCTTCAGCGTATCGCTCTCCAATGGCGAGAACGGCTACACCGAGATGATCGACGACGGCAACGGCGGCATGATCGCCGACGACGTCGACAACCTGGAGCCGCTCGACCCCGCGATCGCCGCGGTCAACGGTGGTGGCCGCCTGCAAAACGGCAACGTCCTGCGGGCCTCGGCGTGGTTTCAAGCCGACCCGAACGACCCCATCACGTTCGAGCCGAGCGTTGAGCCGGTCTTCAAGTGGGAGTTGTGGAAGGAGTTCGATGGCAACAACGGTGACTTCACCAGCGGCCGCGCTGCCGAAGCGGGCTTCGGCGACCGGTTGTGGGACACCGACATCAACGCGCCTTTCGAGGGCTTCTTCGAGTTCGACTACACCGGGCAGAGTGACGCGACGCGGATCGACCTCAACAACAACGGCTCGATCGCGAACGGCGACGACCTGACGGGGCCGTCTCTCGCGCCGACGACGACCGAGGACGAGTGGGTGCTGGTCGAGTCGATCATCGTGATCGACGACACGCCGAACCTCCTTGAGCCGGCCGCCGGCTGGATGATCGGCACGTCGGGCGAGCACTTCGTGGACCGAGTCGAACGCGTCACGGCGACCATGTTTGTCGGCGACTTCGGCGCCGGCCTCAACGAGCCGGGCGGCAGCTTCTGGGTCGACAACGTCCAGATCGAGGTCTTCGCCGACCTGGCTTCGGTGACGCCCAACACGAACCCACGGCCCGAAGCGGCGCCCGGCCTCGCCGCCGACTTCAACGGCGACGGCGCGGTCGACCTGCTGGACCTCGACATCCTGGGATCGAACTTTGGCATGGCTGGAACGCCCATGACCGGTGACGCCAACGGCGATGGCGTCGTCGACCTGCTGGACCTCGACGTTCTTGGGTCGGAGTTCGGCATGGGCGGCGAGTCGGCCGCCGTCCCCGAACCAACCGGACTAGCGATCGGCGTGATGGGCGTGGTTGTCCTAGCGCGCCGCCAGCGTCGTCGTTAGACCGTTACTGCCGCCCGTCGCGCCCCCTCGCGGGTCGCGGCGGGCGGCCTTTTCTTGCGCTGTTGGGAATCCGACGGAACTAACGCACCGGCAAGGCTCAGCCCAACCGCTTGCCCGCTTCGTCGCCGGCGAACAGACGCCACGCGCCGTCGCGGATCGTCAGCGGCGCGGTCTCGGCGAGCTGCGTGCTCAGATCGCCGGACAGTCGGGCGATGCAAGGCAAGCTCTGGCCGTTTGAGCCGAGCAGGTAGTGCGCGAGCGTCTCGTGACCGAGGCGCTCGACCGTGCCTAGCCGCCCCGTCGTAAAGACCGGCGCCGAGCCCTCGGCCGGCATCAGGTCCTCGGGCCGCACGCCGAGCGTCGCCGGGCCATCCGCCTCGACGCCGGGGACGCTCCAGCTCGCGTCGACGCCGTCGGCCGTGAACTGTCCGCCCTGGACGACGCCCTCGATCAGGTTCATCGGCGGGCTGCCGATGAACGTCGCCACGAAGCGGTTGGCCGGGTTGTTGTAGACCTCCAGCGGCGTGTCGACCTGCTGCACGACGCCGTGGTTCATCAGCACGAGCCGCTGCCCGAGCGTCATCGCCTCGACCTGGTCGTGCGTGACGTAGATCATCGTCGCCCCGAGTCGCTCGTGCAGGCCGGCGATCTCGGTGCGGGTCTCCGCGCGGAGCTTCGCGTCGAGGTTCGAGAGCGGCTCGTCGAACAAGAACGCCGCCGGGTCGCGGACGATCGCCCGCCCCAGCGCGACGCGTTGCCGCTGCCCGCCGGAGAGCTCGCGCGGCCGGCGGTCGAGCATCGGCTCGATGCCGAGCATCTCGGCGGCCCGGCCGACCCGCTCCTTGATCTCCGCCTTCGGCGTGCGACGCATCTTCAGGCCGAACGCCATGTTCGCCCGCACCGTCATGTGCGGGTACAGGGCGTAGTTCTGGAAGACCATCGCGATGTCGCGGTCGCCCGGCTCGACGTCGTTGACCAGCCGGTCGCCGATGTGGACCTGCCCCTCGGAGACTTCCTCGAGGCCCGCGACCATGCGGAGCGTCGTCGACTTGCCGCAGCCGCTCGGGCCGACCAGCACGACCAGCTCGCCGTCGGCGATCTCAAGGTCCACGCCACGCACCGCGTGGAAACCATCGGGGTAACGCTTGTGGACGCCCGTGAGGGTGACTTTCGCCACGGCAAAACGAAGAATCGAGGGAGAGACGGTCGGCCAACTCGGTCTGCCATGATACTAAGGACTCTGGCACACTGGCAGGCTCGGGGACCGGCGACACGCGAGCGTCCTGGCGCTCTTGGCGCTCTTGGCGTCTTGGCGTCTTGGCGGTTCCAACTTCCTTCGAACGAAAGGCCTGCCGTGCCGGACGCCACTGAAACCTGCGTCGCCGACCTCGACCTCGCCGGCGAGCTGCCGCTGGGGCGGGCGATGCTCCGCCAGCTCCGCAAGTCGCGGTTCCGGCTGAAGTGCAGCGACTCGACCGGGCAGACGCTCACCGGCGGGCAGTTGCTCACCAAGGCGCTCGTGCTGCGTCGCCTGCTGCTGCGCGACGTGCTGACGGCAGACGAAGAGCGTGTCGGCGTGCTGCTGCCTCCAACCAACGGCGGGGTCGTCGTCAACGCGGCCCTCGCGTGCGCGGGGCGCGTCGCGGTGAACCTCAACTACTCCGCCTCGGCCGACGTGATCAACGCCTGCATCGCCGCGGCCGGCATCAAGCACGTGCTCACCAGCGAGAAGGTGCTCGACAAGTTGGGCGTCTCGCTCGACGCGGAGGTCGTCAAGCTCGAGTCGTTCCGCGACCGCGTCACGACGGCCGACAAACTGGCCGGCTTCGTCGGCGGGTACGTGACACCGGTCGGCATGCTCGAGCGCTCGCTCGGCCTCGACCGTCAGTCGATGGACGACGTTCTGACGATCATCTTCACCAGCGGCTCCACCGGCCGGCCGAAAGGGGTCATCCTCTCGCACCGCAACGTCGTGGCGAACATCCGCTCGATCGAGGTCGCCGTGCACCTGGACGCGGAGGACGTGATCCTCGGCATCCTGCCGTTCTTCCACGCGTTCGGTTTCACGGTGTCGCTCTGGGCGCCGCTGGTGCTCGACATGCGCGGCGCGTACCACTTCAACCCGCTCGACGCCCGACAGGTCGGCAAACTCTGCAGCGGGTCCGGCGCGACGATCTTGCTGAGCACGCCGACGTTCCTCCGCTCGTACCTCAAGCGGGTGCCGGCCGAGGACTTCGCGTCGCTCGACATCGTGATCGTCGGCGCCGAGAAGCAACCGATCCCGCTGAGCGACGCCTTCGAGAAGAAGTTCGGCGTCCGACCATCCGAGGGTTACGGCGCGACGGAGCTCGCGCCGGTCGCTTCGGTGAACATCCCGCCGTCGCGCTCGCGCACCGACCGCGTCGACGCTCGCGAGGGGAGCATCGGCCAGCCGCTGCCGGGCGTGCGGGCGCGCGTCGTCGACCCGGAGACGGGAGACCCGCTGCCGGCCGACGCCGAGGGGATGCTCGAAGTCACGGGGCCGAACCGCATGGTCGGCTACCTCGACGACGAGGCGAAGACCGCCGAGGTGCTCCGCGACGAGTGGTACGTCACGGGCGACATCGCCCGGATCGACCCGGAGGGTTTCATCCACATCACCGGCCGCCAGAGTCGCTTCTCGAAGATCGGCGGCGAGATGGTGCCGCACGTGCGGGTCGAAGAAGAGATCCAGGCGTTCCTCGGCGGCGCCGACGCGGAGGATCAGATGGCGGTCGTCACCGGCGTCCCCGATCAGAAGAAAGGCGAACGCCTCGTCGTGCTGCATCTAGCAAGCGACAAGACGCCCGACGAGGTCTGCGAGCACCTCCGCGGCCAGGGCCTGCCGAACCTCTGGGTCCCGTCGCCGGACTGTTTCTTGGAGGTCGAAGAGCTGCCGCTGTTGGGATCGGGGAAGCTCGACCTGAAGGGTTTGGCGGCCGTGGCGCGTGAGAAGTTCGCCAACGACGCCTAACAGCGACGTGAGCGAAGGGTAGCCCAGGTTCTTGAACCTGGGCGGCAAAGCCGCAAACGGTTTCGTGGCAGTTGGCAAACACATGGAGACGACGCAGCGCGTGACCTCCTGTCGCCTGCGACGACCACGGTCCGATAACCGGGGCTACCGGCGATTGAACGCGCCGCCGAAAGCCGAGCCCCGGAGGGGCGGCAGCGCGTAGCCAGGGGCGCGAGCCCCTGGATGCCGTCGCACCGCCAAAACGAAAGCCCCGGAGGGGCGACAGCAACTCACCCAGCCGTCGCGCTGTCGCCCCTCCGGGGCTGCGGTGTTCTGATCACACCGAGCCAGGGGCTTGCGCCCCTGGCTACGCGCTGTCGGCCCTCCGGGCCTTTCGGATGTGGCGCTGACTTGTCCCGCCAACGCGGCCGAAACGCGCGCTTCCGTGGCGCGTCGGCGGAATCGAGAATGGGAACGCTTCATGTTCGGCTCGCGACATCCCCATGGCGCTGAATGCCCCCGACAAAACGCCAACCCGTTTCACGCCAACGCCTTGCGGCGCGAAATGTGGGGGTTTTGTCGGGGGGCGTGTTTTTGGGCGCCCCCGACAAAAGTGCGACCGAGAAACCGCCTTGTCAGCGGACCGTCGCCATCGCTGGCGTGATCGCCACGCGGTGGCGGCTCGCGCGACGCAGCGCGTACCGGTCGGCCGTCTGCTGGCACATCGAGGCGAACTCGCGACGCGTCGGCTCGTCGACGTGTCGCAGGTGCCCCGCGAGGCGGGCCATGCCGGAGGGGTTCGTCTCCGCGGTGCGTGAGAAGAGCGACACGAACCGCATCGTCTCGACGAAGTTGTGGTCCGCCGTGCGGCCGATCAGCGGGCTGAGCGTCTTCGCGGCGACCCGCGTCGCCGGTCCGCCAAACCGCATGAACGAGTCGAGCCGCGTCGTGACGTAAGAACGGCCGTTCGCCTCGTCGAGCGCGTCGGCCCGCAGCAGCAGGACGCTCTTGCCGCGGATCGGCTGCGGCATCGGCGGCGCCTGGTAGACGCCGCTGGCGAGCAGCACCATCGTCAGCGGCTGACGCTTGCCGCGGGCGTCAACGCCGCCGCCGCTGCGGTGGACGACGCGGACCTCGCCGACGGCCCCCGCCGCGTCGGTCACGTTGAACCGGTCGGGCGCGACCCGTTCGAGCTTCAGCCGGCTGACGCCCATGACGTTCCACGCGCCGACGACCAGCTCCGGCCGGTCGATCAGGTACGTGTAGAGGTCGGCGTCACAGTCGATCACGCGCGTCGGCATCTGCCGGTACAGCGTCGCGCCGCCGACGACCTCGCTGACGGTGGGCCGGACGTTGCTCGGCAGGGCCTTCCACGGGATCGCCAGCCGCGCGGCCTCGCGGGCCCGCTTGTCGGTCGTCCCCTGAGGGCGCGCACGCCCCCCGGTCTCGGCAGCCTGCAGTGGACCCGCTAGAAGCAGCACGGCGGCGAGAGCGCCCACGAGCGCTCGCCGAAGCAGCCGTTCCCCCCTCGCGCAGCCCGACCTTTCCGGTCGGCACGCCATAGCTCCCCCCCAGGAAACGGCGCTGTCGGACCGCACGCGGCCCGTTGTTCAACAATGACGGTCGTGTGGGTTGAATCGACGCCCGGGGGGGCGGGACGTGAGCGAATCGCTCGACACAGCGCACGACGCTAGCGTGCAATCGGCCTTGCCTTGCTTCGCGGCGCTTCGTGACACTCCGCGCGTGGTCCAAGCCCGCCGAATCGCCGTCGCTCTGCTGCTAGCGTTCGTGCTCGTCGCCGGCGTGTGGCGCCTGCTCGACTGGCGCCTCGGCGCCGAGACGCGGCGGCTCGCGGCACAGGGCCACAGCGGGCTGGTGCCGTCGGTCGTCGTCGACTGGGCGCCGCCGGTGGTCGCGATCGCCTTGGCGGACGACAGCGAGCCGGCCCAGCGGGCCCGGTTCGTCGTCAACCAACGGATCGACGTCGCCGTCGCCTCCGCACGGGAAGGCGACACACGGCAGCTCGTCGAGACCTCCGGCGCCGTCCTGCAAGCTCTTCGCCAAAGCCCCGACACGCTGACCAGCCAGGGAGCGTCGTGGGCCGAGCGTGTCGCCCGCCGGATGATCGACGTGACGGCCGAGGTCGAAGCCGAACAGCGGCTGCGGCTGCTCGCCGACGCCGACGACACGCTGACGACCGTCACCGGCAAGCCGACCACGCCGAGTCCGCCGCCGGCACGCGTCGAGCCGACAAGCTCCCTTGCGACCGTCGAAGCAACGCCATCGACGCCGGCAACGCCCACGCCGACGGAAACGGTCGCCCAGCCTGCTGAGCCGCCGGCGCTGAGCCAGCCACGGCCGACGCCGCCAACCCCTGCGCGGCCCAACGTGGCGGAAGCCGACTCGCCGTCTCCCTGGAAGCCCGACTGGCGTTCGCTGGTGCCGATCCCGTCGCCCGCCGCCGAGCCAATACCCGAGGTCGTCGACCTCGCGCCGCCCCCCGCCCCAGGTCCGCCTACTGACCGCGAGCTGCTCGCCGAGCTGCTCGAGGTGGCGAACCAACTGCGATCCGCCACGGGACCGGTCGCCCGGGGTCCGACGCGGGCGCCCACGGGTGGCAATCCCGACGCCGAGGCGGTCCGCCGCTTCGAGGTGGTCCGCACCGAGTTGGCCGAGCGAGGCTTCCAGGGCGTCGCCGAATGGCAACTGATCGAGCTGTTGGCGGAGGAACCGGGACGCCGCATCGCGTTGGCCGAGCGGCTCGTCACCGAGCGGAGCGGCGACGGCGCGCGGCTGTTGCTCGTCCTGGCAGACGACGCCGATCCCAAGGTCCGCGTCGCGGCGATCCAGGCGCTCGGCAGCTCGACGAGCCGATCACTGGTCGAAGTCGCTTGGCGACTCGCGTCGAGCGACCCCGACCCGAACGTCGGTCGTCTCGCCGAGCCGCTCCGGCAGTTGCTCCGCTAGACAGCGGATCAGGGTTCAGTAGCCAGCTATCAGCAGCGCCTCGCAAACTGACTACTGGTCCCGGACTACTGATTACTGTCCTCACCGCCGTAGCGGCGTGACTCGCTCGGCGACCAGGTGCTCTCGCTTCAAGTCCGCGCGGTAGCCGCGACGGCCGTCGAGCGCGACCCGTCGGCCGACGAGGTTGTCGAAGCGGCTCTCCAGGCGCGGCGACGGGGTCACGAACGTCTCGACCCGTCCGCGGTCGTTGACGATGGCGTAGCGTGGCGCGTCGGGCCGTTTCGAGACGACCGGCCGGAGGACGCCCTCCGCGTCGTGACGGCGTCTTGTCGCGGTAGACCTTGCCGGCGTGCTCTCGGCGGGGCCTCGCTTCGTCAGGCGAACCGGAGGGGCGACGCTGCTCGGGGCGTCGGTCGAGCCAACGCCTGAGGGCGATCGCCACGAGTCGACCGTTTGCGTTGGCTTGGCTACGGGCGCTGGCGTTGCGAATCCATGGGCGATCTCCGTGAAGCGGTCGATGCGGCTGGCTACCTCGCGGGCGGCGAGGCGCTCGACGTTCGTCGAGGCCTCGGCGGACAGCGACTGGGCTTCGTCACGCAGGCGGCCGAGACGCCAATTCGCCGGCGGTTCGACGACGACTTGCGACAGCGCCAGGTCGAGCGCCGTGAGACGCTGCTCGAAGCCCATCGGGGCGGCGCCAGGCTGTGGAACGTCTTGCGCGCCGGCGACCGCAACGATCGCCCACGCTAGCACCCACAATGATCGCAACATGTTCGCAGCTCCGTAGCGGCGCACTGGCGCCGGCGACAGGATGATGGACCCGCGACGGCTTGTAGGAACCGCCCGCGACCCGAGCAAGGCCACTCGTCGTTGTGCTAGCTGCTGCTCGGCCATCCGTTTAGGCTAGAGAGGGCGTCGCCTCGCTCCCGTCCTCTCTCGTTCGCGTCTCTTGTCTATGTCGACGGCCCCCGAGACGCTCGGCCCCTACCAGATCGGCGAAGCGCTCGGCAAAGGCGGCATGGGCGCGGTGTACCGCGGCGTCCACCGCGAGACCGGCGACCTGGTGGCGGTAAAGGTTCTCAGCCCGCGGCTGGCGGTCTCCGAAGGGTTTCGTGATCGCTTCGAGGGAGAGATCGAGTCGCTCAAGTCGTTGCGCCACGCGGGGATCGTCCGGCTGTTCGGTTACGGCGAGCAGGATTCGGTCCCGTTCTTTGCGATGGAGCTCGTCGACGGCCCCAGCCTGGAGGAGGAACTCCGCAGCGGCAGGCGTTTCACGTGGCGCGAGACGACGCAGATCGCGATCCAGGTCTGCCGCGCGCTGAAACACGCCCACGACCACGGCGTGATCCACCGCGACCTCAAGCCGGCCAACATCCTGTTGGCCTCCAATGGGCAAGCGAAGCTCGCCGACTTCGGCATCGCGCGGGTCTACGGGTCGACCGGCGTGACGATCGCCGGCGGCATCCTCGGCACGGCCGACTACATGTCGCCGGAGCAGGCGGCCGGCAAGCCGGTCAACGCGCGTTGCGACCAGTACAGCCTCGGCGGCGTGATGTACGCGTTGCTCGCGGGGCGGCCGCCATTCCGGGCGACCGACATGCCGGCCATGCTGCAGTTGCACCGCTACGCCATCCCGGAGCCGGTGCGCCGCTTCGCACCCGACACGCCGAAAGAACTCGAGCGGATCGTCTCGCAGTTGCTCGAGAAGGAACCGGCGGACCGATTCCCGAACACGCTGATCGTCGCGCGCCGGCTCGAAGCGATGAGTCGCGCGTTGTCGCGCCCCGCGGCAGACGACTTCGAACTGCACGCCACGGGTGTCGTGTCGGACTCGACGGCGCCCGTCGAGAAGGCGGTCGACGAACTGGCGATGGCGGCCACGATGCCGGCGGCCGACCTGGGCGAGTCGCTCGACCTCCAGTCGGCGCCGACCGAGCCGCCGCCGGCCGACGCCGCCGCAGCGGTCTCGACGATCGGATCAACGTACACGGCCGTTGATCCGACGCCGGCGTCGCGGGGGACTTCCAACTTGGCGATCGTCCGCCAAGCCGCCGGCATCCTCCTGGTGCTGGCCGCGATGGCGGGCGTCGCCTGGTGGGCGCTCCGGCCGCTGACCGCGGATCAACTGTATGACCGCATCGCGGCCGGCATGGAGCGAGGCGAGCTGAGCCGCGGGCTGCTCGACGACACGGCGTCGTTCGCCCGGCGCTTCGGCGGCGACGATCGCGCCGAGGAAGTGGCGGGATGGCGACGCGACCTGCGGCTGATGCAGCAGCAGAACCGGCTCTCTCGGCTGAAGACGACCACGAAACGTGGCGCCGCTGGGTCCGCTGCCGAGGCGCTGCAGCGCCGCGCCGCGTTGCTCGCCGAACGAGAGCCTGCGGCGGCCATCGAGGCCTACGAGAGTCTCGCCGAGCTGCTCTCGACTCCGACCGAGGGGGAAGAGCCGTCGGCCGAGAACACGGAGCTGGCGGACGTCGCGATCCGAGAGGCGCAGCGTCTGCGGGCAGAGATGGAGGCGGAGGCCGCACGCGTCGCGGAGTTCGCCGCCGAACGGTTGGTGGTCGCCCAAACGCTTGTCGAGAGCGATCCGAGTCGCGCCCACGCCATCGCGACGGCCGTGATTAGGTTGCTACCAGCAAGCGAAGCGACGCTGGAAGTCCTCGCCGAGGCCTCGGCGATCGCCACGCAGGCTTCGGCGAAGCTCGCCTCGACCGGCCGGGCGCCCGTTGCCCCGGCGGACGGCGTGCGGTAGGCAACGGGTCTCTCAGCCCGCGCCCTTCGACCGTGCGACCCGATGCCCGCAACCGACGCTCGCTACGCCAAGAGCCGCCAAGCCTTCGCCCACGCCAAGACCCTGATGCCGGGCGGCGTGAACAGCCCGGCGCGGGCGTTCGGAGCGGTGGGTGGCGAACCGCTCTTCATCGAACGCGCCGAAGGACAGCACCTCTGGGACGCCGACGGCAACCGCTACCTCGACTACATCGGCTCGTGGGGGCCGATGATCTTCGGCCACGCCTACCCGCCGGTCGTCGAAGCGCTCGAGGCGGCGGTCCCCCGCGGGACGAGCTACGGCGCCCCGACCGCCGGCGAAAGCGAGCTGGCCGAGTTGATTATCGACGCCGTGCCGGGCATCGAGCGCGTCCGGCTGGTGAACTCTGGCACGGAAGCCGCGATGAGCGCGATCCGGCTGGCGCGCGGCTTCACCGGCCGAGACCGGATCGTGAAGTTCGCAGGCAACTACCACGGGCACGTCGACAGCCTGCTGGTCGCCGCGGGCAGTGCGGCCGCGACGCTTGCCGTACCGAACTCTCCCGGCGTGACGGCGGGCACCGCCGGCGACACGATCGTGTTGCCGTACAACGACCCGCAAGCCCTCGAGGACGCTTTTTCGAAGCACGGCGACGAGATCGCGGCGGTCGCGTTCGAGCCGGTCTGCGGCAACATGGGCGTCGTGACCCCGACCGACGAGTTCCTCAAGACGCTGCACGACACGCCACGCCAACACGGCGCCGTGTTGCTCTGCGACGAGGTCATGACCGGCTTTCGGTTGGCGCTCGGCGGCGCGCAGGAGCGTTTGGGCATCGAGCCCGACCTGACAACGCTCGGCAAAATCGTCGGCGGCGGCCTGCCCGTCGGCGCCTACGGCGGTCGATCGGACGTCATGGGCAAGGTCCTTCCCGAAGGGCCTGTGTTCCAAGCCGGCACGCTGAGCGGCAACCCGCTCGCGACGGCGGCCGGGTCGGCGACGCTGCGCGCGTTGCGTGAGACGCCGCCCTACGAGCGGCTTGAAGCCTTGGGCGAACGCCTCGCCGCCGGCCTCGGCGAGGCCGCTGCCGCCGCGAGCGTTCCGCACGTCGTGCAGCGGATCGGCAGCATGGTGACGCTCTTCTTCCACGACGGGCCGGTCCGCTCCTGGGACGACGCGGCCGCGTGCGACACCGCGTTGTTCGGCCGGTTCTTCTGGGCGATGCTCGACCGCGGTGTCTACCTGCCGTGCAGCCAGTACGAGGCGATGTTCATCTCGGCGGCGCACACCGACGAGGACATCAACGAGACGATCGAGGCGGCGAAGTCCGCGCTGAGCGCTGTGTCTTGAGGTCAGCACGAATAGCCCCGACCAAGCTTGGTCGGGGCTATTGGGCGTTCTTCGCGAGTTTCTCCTCGGCCGCGCTTGGCCGGTGGTAGCGCGGCGCGAGCTCAAAGACGTCGTCCGACTCACCAGCCAGCCATCGCCGCCACGCAACGGTCAGCACCGCGTCGGCAAGGGGCTCGACCTCATCACTCGTCACTCCGGCCCGCTCCCCCACAACGAGACTCGCGATCGGGCCAACAACAGAGTCGCCTTCGGTTAGCGCGTCGCGGGCGTCGTCCTGCGTCCGCCGATCGTTCGGCCCCGTGCGCTGCCATCGCTCGGTGTCGCGTTCGAACATCGCCAGAAAGCACTCGCGTCGCTGGGCGTCGACGACGGTCCACAATCGCTCCGCCGTAGGCGCCGCGGCTTCGGCCAGAGCGTCGAGCGTGTCGACGCCCAACACGGCGGAGCCGGTCGCGTAGGCAAGCGCCTTGGCGGTCACCACGCCGACCCGGAGCCCGGTGAACGAGCCGGGGCCGACCGCGACGGCGACGTTGGCAAGCGAAGCGGGCTCCCATCCGAGTCGCTTCAGCAACGCGTCAACGGCCGGCGCCAGCGATTGGGCGGATCGATCCGCCTGGCTGAGCGGCTCGAACGCCACGACGCGGCAGGCGTCGCGGGTCACCTCGGCAGCGGCGATCGACCCGTGGTAGCCGGAGGTTTCCAGGGCGAGCCAACGCCTTGCCTCGGCGAGCTTGGCCGCCGGGGTTTGAGAGGCGGTATCAGGCATTGGCTTGGTTCGGAGACGGCGGGGGAAACAGGGGCTCCGCTTGACCGAAGTGCATGGCCCGTCTAGTGTTTCGGGTTCGGCCGAGCGGTCGCTGACCCACCCCGCAGCGGGTGGACGGGGCCTTGTCCGTCTTCGCTTCGGCGCCCTGGCGGCAGACGCTTGTCCGTGGCGCTGGCTGGGGCTGGCTCGGCGCCGGTCGGCCAACGACCAACCCGCCTGAGTATCCAGCAGCGGCCATCCCCTCGGAAGGGCGTCCGTCTTGAAACGAGCGATCATCAGCGACGTCCACGGCAACCTCGAGGCGCTTCAGACGGTCCTGAAGCACATCAAGGAGCAGTACGTCGACGAAGTCTTCTGCCTCGGCGACGTGATCGGCTACGGCCCGAAGCCGTGCGAGTGCCTCGACGAGGTGATGGACGCCTGCAAGGTCGCCCTGCTGGGCAACCACGACCAAGGCGCGCTGTTCGACCCGGAGGGTTTCAACAGCGGGGCGGAGCGGGCCATCTTCTGGACCCGCGACCAACTCGAGTCGACCCGCGGCGACCGCGACCAGATCGACCGCCGCTGGGACTTCCTCGGCGGCCTGCCGCGGATCCACCGCGACGAGCAGTGGCTGTACGTCCACGGCTCGGCACGCAACCCGGTGAACGAGTACGTGTTCCCGGAGGACATCTACAACCAGAAGAAGATGGAGAAGCTCTTCAGCCTCGTGCAGAAGGGCTGCTTCCAAGGCCACACCCACGTGCCGGGCGTCTTCACCGAGAGCCGCAACTTCGTCACGCCCGAAGAGACCAACTACGTCTACGAGATCAACGACCAGAAATTCATGGTGAACGTCGGCTCGGTCGGCCAGCCGCGAGACGGCGACCCGCGCGCCTGCTACGTGATCCAGGAGCCGGAACGGCTGACGTTCCACCGTGTCGAGTACGACATCGACGTGACGGCCGACCTGATCTACGCGACGCCCGACCTCGACAACTTCCTCGGCGATCGGATCAAGCAGGGACGCTGAGCGGCGAATCGCATCGGGGCAGCCACGGTGTGGCTGTTGGCGCCGCTAAGCCGCGAGCGGCTAGCCGCTCGCGGCTTAGCGGTGCCCGAACACTCCCCCCCGCGCCCGGCTCCGCGTCGCGACGACACCCACCCCTTCCAGGCGAATGGACATCCAACAACGCCGCCCCGGACGCGGCGGCGATCAGCCCTTCGATCAGCGTTTCCTGCTGTTCGCCATGCTGGCGATGGCGGTCTTGATGATGTTCAACGGGCTCTTCGCCCCGCCGCCCGTTGAGCCGAACAACCAACTGGCCGCCGAAGACCCAGCGGCCGCCGAAGCCGCGACCGAAGACGAAGTCGCCGAGCTCGGCGCCACGGCGGAGCCGATCGCCACCGCCGAGCCGATCGAAGAAGACCCCGTCGCCGAGCCGCAGCGGGTGGCCATCGGTTCGGTCGCCCCGGACGGCGCTTTCCGCATGCTGCTGACGGCGAACAACGTCGGCGGCGCCGTCGAGCGGATCGAGCTTTCCAGCGAGAAATACCGCGACCTCGACGAACGCACCGGCTACGCCGGCGCGTTGGCTCTCTCCAACGCGGCAGAAGGCGGCGCGCTCGTGAACGTGGTTGGCGCCGGAACGCCGGCCGCTGCTGCGGGGCTCCGAGCGGGCGACGTCATCCGCAAGGCGACGCTGCCGGACGCCGAGCCGCAGGCGATCAGCGACGCCAACGATCTGACCGCGGTGCTGGCGACCTCGAAGCCACGACAATCGCTTGCTCTCGACGTCACGCGCAACGAGATTCCCACAACCGTCACCATCGAGCTGCGCCGCCCGCCGCTCAACCTGCTGCGGCCTGAAATCGAGAACGTCCGTCTCTACACGCCCGATCCGCCGCGTGACTTCGACTCGGTCCCATCGTTCGTCGTGACGCTGACGACGGTCGGCGCCCGGCGGGGCGACGACCCACTCGTTGTCGAAGCGAACCGGCGCCTCGCCGAAGAGGCGTGGACCGTCGCCGACCAAGCGGCCGACTCGGTCACGTTCCGCAAGCGGCTGCCCGAGCTGGGTGTCGAGGTGTCCAAGCAGTTCCGCGTCGTCGAGACGCCATCCGACGAACAGGCCAACGGGGCCTACCCGTCGTACCACTTCGAGCTCTCCGTCGAAGTGACCAACCTCGCCGCGACGGCCCAGGCGGTCGCCTACGAACTGACGGGGCCCAACGGCTTGCCTATTGAGGGCTTCTGGTACAGCAACAAGATCGGCCGCGGCGACGGCAGCTACTTCGGCGACTGGGGCGCCTTCGGCCTGCGTGACGTGGTGGTCCGGTACGCCGGCGACCGCTTCGTGCAGTTCAGCGCCTCGCAAGTTGCCGACGGCGACGTCCGCCCGATGGGCCAGGGCCGGCCGCTGGCCTTCGTCGGCGTCGACTCGCAGTACTTCGCGTCGATCATCATCCCGCAGAAGCCGTCGCTCGACGACGTCCGGCTGGCGGAGGTCCGCGCCGAGCTCGCGACCGCCGAGCTGCCCGATCGCGACCCCAACCGGTGGGAGAACGCGTCGTGCGTCCTGCTGCGGGAGACGGCGACCCTCGCCGCGGGCGAGAAGCTGACGGACGACTACCGCGTCTTCGCCGGGCCGAAGCTGCCGCAACTGCTCGACGCCTACCGCGTCAACAACGACCCGACGCACACGCTGCACAGCGTGCTGTACTACGGGTGGTTCGGTTGGGCCGCCAAGCCGATGCTCTGGCTGCTGCACACCTTCTACGGCTTGGTGGGCAACTACGGCGTCGCGATCATCATGCTGACGATCTGCGTTCGCGGGGCCATGTTCCCCATCGGCCGGCAGCAGGCGCTCAACATGCGGAAGATGCAGGAGCTCAAGCCGGAGCTCGACCGCATCACCGAGAAGTACAAGGACGACATGCAGAAGCGCTCGCAGGCGCAGCAAGAGCTGTTCCGCAAGCACAACTACAACCCGGCGGCCGGTTGTCTGCCGCTGTTCTTGCAGTTGCCCATCTTCATGGGCTTGTACCGGGCGCTGGCGGTCGACGTCGAGCTGCGGCAAGCGCCGCTCTTCAGCGACGCGATCCGCTTCTGCAGCAACCTGGCGGCGCCCGACATGCTGTACGACTGGTCGGGATTCATGCCGCAGTGGGTGAACACCGGCCAGGGGATGCTGGGGCTGGGCCCCTACTTCAACATCTTGCCGCTGGCGACGTGTGGACTGTTCTTGCTGCAGCAGAAGATATTCATGCCGCCGCCGACCAACGAGCAAGCGGCCCTACAGCAGAAGATGATGCAGTGGATGATGCTGTTCATGGGCCTCTTGTTCTTCAAGGTGCCCAGCGGCTTGTGCATCTACTTCATCGCGTCGAGCCTCTGGGGCATCGCCGAACGCCAGATGCTCCCGAAGCCGACGCCCGTCGAGCCAACCGCCGGGGCCGTGACCGCCCCGCCCGCTTCGCGGGCCAAGCCGGCCTCGAACGGTTCGGGCGGGAAGAAGCCCACCGGCGCGAAGGCTTCTTCGAAAGCCAAGTCGAAGGGCAAGGGCAAAGGGAAGGGCAAGCGGAAGCGTTAAGCCGCGTCACCATTCCGAGCTCTGAGGGATGACCCCCGATACGGCAGACACGATCGTCGCGATCGCGACCGCCCGGGGCTCCAGCCCGCGCGGCGTCGTCCGGCTCTCGGGCCCCACCGCGTTAGCGACCGCCGCCCGCCTGACGGTCGAACCACTCGCCGCGACGAAGCCGACGCGTCTCACCGGACGCAGGCTACGCATCTCGCTCAACGGCGACGAGCGTCTGCTGCCGGCGGACGTCTACGTCTGGCCCAACCAGCGCAGCTACACGCACCAACCGTCGGTCGAGTTCCACACGGTCGGCTCGCCGCCGGTGCTCGACGCTTTGGTAACGGCGTGCCTCGGCGCCGGCGCCCGCCTCGCGGAGCCGGGGGAGTTCACGCTCCGAGCGTTCCTCGCCGGCCGGCTCGACCTGACGCAAGCCGAGGCGGTCCTGTCGGTGATCGACGCACCGAACGACACGGCGCTCGACTCGGCACTCAACCGGCTCGCGGGCGGGCTCTCAACGCCCTTGCACAGGCTGCGGGCCGATCTGCTCGGACTGCTCGCGGACCTTGAGGCAGGACTCGACTTTGTCGAGGAAGAAGACGTCCGTTTCGTCGAGCCGGCCGAACTGCGTCGGCGGCTCGCCGAGGCCGCCGAGATCGTCGCGGCGACACGCGAGCAGATCGCCAGCCGTGACGAGTCGGCGCGGCTGGCGCGCGTCGCGATCGTCGGGCCGCCGAACGTCGGCAAGAGCCGTCTGTTCAACGCCCTGGTCGCACGCCACGGCGGCGATGCGCAGCCCACCGAGGCTTTGGTTGCGGATGTGGCGGGCGTCACGCGCGACGCCGTTGCCGCTCGGCTCGACATCGACGGGGTCGCGTTCGAACTCGTCGACTCGGCCGGCGCGGACGAAGGAGAGGCGGTCGACACGATCGACGCCGTGGCGCGCGGACGCGTCCAAGCGCTCCGCGACCAAGCCGACCTGCTCGTTGAGTGCCGACCGGAGCCGGGCATGACCCCTCCGGAGGAAGCGGGCGATCGACTCTGGGTCGGCACCATGAGCGACCGCGTCGAGGACGTGTCGCCGCCGGCCGGCTGGATCGCCACCAGCGCGGCGACCGGGGCCGGACTCCCCGAACTGGCGAGGCGGATCGCGTCCCGACTCGCCGGAATCGAGGCGGGATCGACCGCGTCTTACACCGCGTCGACGGCCCAGCGCTGTCGCGCGGGACTCGACTCCGCCACCGAGGCTCTTGAGCGCGCCACGCAGATCGCGGTTGCCGACGCGGGCGAAGAGCTCGTCGCCCTCGAGCTCCGTCAGGCGCTCGACGGCCTGGGGCTCGTCGTCGGCGAGGTGGTCACCGACGAGGTGCTCGGCGAGATCTTCGGGAAGTTCTGTATTGGGAAGTAGCCGACGCTCGCGCTACGCGCTTTCGCTGTTCGCCTCGGCTTGCGACGCTTCGCCTTCGCCCTGCAGGTAGGTTCGACCGCGGTACAGGAAGGCGGCCCACGGCAGGTACACCGCGGCGGTGGCGGCCATCGCCCAGGCGAAACCGCTGAAATAAGCGGCGTTCGTGTTCGACTCACCCTCGGCGAGCAGCATCGAGTTCACCTGGACGACGATCTCGTTGCCCAGGTAGACGCTCAGCCAGTAGACGCCCGTGACGAACGACTTCATCCGCGGCGGCGCCTGGGTGTACGAGAACTCGAGCGCCGTGATGGAGACCAACACCTCCGCGGCGGTGATCACGACGTAGGCGATCAACTGCCAGACGATGTGGGGCGTCTCCCCGGCGTCGAGGCGCGACTGGACCCACGCGATGATGAAGAACGAAGCGGGCGCCATCAGCAGTCCCACGCCGATCCGCTTGAGCGCCGTGAAGTCGGTAAACCGTTCCGCCCACGGGTAGATCACCTGCGTGAACAGCGGGACCAACAGCAGGATCAGCACCGGGTTCGCCGCCTGGATCTGAGCGGGCGACACCTCCCAACCGAAAAGGTTGCGGTCCATCTGGTCTGCCTGGATCACCCACGTCGACGTCGTCTGGTCGAACAGGCTCCAGAAGACGGCGAGCAACGCGTAAAGCGGCAGCAGGTTCAGCACGGCGAGCAGCCCCGTCGGGCTGAACGTCTCGCGGAAGAACCCGGCGCCGCCTGGCGGGACGTGGACAAACTCGTTGCGGCCCAGCCAGAACATGAGCGTCGCGAGACCCATCAGCACGCCCGGCACCCCGAACGCGACGACCGGTCCGAACCACTCCAGCAGCAGCGGCGTCAGCCACATCGACACCGCGGCGCCAACGTTGATCGACACGTAGTACCAGCCGAACGCACGCGAGATCAGTCGCTGGTTGCTCGGGCCGAACTGGTCGCCCAGGTGCGCCGAGACACACGGTTTAATCCCACCGCTGCCGACGGCGATCAACGCCAGCGCGACCCACAGCGCCGTCAGCGGGTGGATGCCGATCAGGGTCGGCATGTCGCACAGCGTCATCACGGCGTGACCGACGCAGTAGAAGAGCGACAGCCCGAGGATCGTCCGGTACTTGCCCCACAGCCAGTCGCAGAAGATCGCGCCGAGCAACGGGAACGCGTAGCACGCCTTGATGAAGTTGTGTTGCCAGATCGTCGCCTCGGTCGCGTCCATCGGGGACAGCTCGCCTTCGGGACCGAGCAGGTGCTTGGTCATGAACACGACCAGGATCGCCCGCATGCCGTAGTAGCTGAACCGCTCGGCCGCCTCGTTGCCGATGATGTACGGGATGCCGGTCGGCATGCCCGCCTGGTTCGGGTCGGGCGCGGTGCGGTACTTGGTCGGCGTGTCGGCGGACAACGGTCGGTCTCACGGCGGGCGGGCAAAGCGGCGATTCTAGCCGTTCCGCCGCGGGCGGCCTCCCCCAGCCGGGCCCGTCGCGCGAGTCACGCCTCGCGGTTGTAGATCACGGGCATCCGGCCCTTCCACCCGGCCCACAACGCGTCGTCGGCGATCAGCTCCGCCATGAAGTGAGCGACGTTGACCCGGCTCGTCTGGCCCGCGTTGAAGATCGCGCTGCGGGTCGGCGAGGCGTGCACGTCGTACGGGGTGACCTTCTCCACGTCGATCAGCCCGTCGGGCCGCACGGCCACCCACTCGACGGCGCCGTCGCCTTGGCCGACCGCGGCGCGTAGGTAGTCCGCCGCTTGCTCGTTGTCGGCGTGCGGTGGCAGCAGCCATCGCAGCAAGAACAACACCGCGTGCTCGCCCCAAGACACCGGTTCGTCGAGGTCCCGGTTGCGATTGCCGGCGGTGTTCATCAGCAAGAACTTGACTGGCGTTGCCGGCCGGTTGGCGCGGATCACGTCGCAAAGCCGCCGCGTCGCGTCGGTGACGAGCCGTCGCGGCGGGCCGAAGACTCCTCGGAACGACAGGTTGTGACCGAGACACGAAACGACCGCCCGGCAGCCATCGACGTGACGAGCGAGCTCTGCCTCGGTCTGCTCGGCCACGCCGGCGACGATCACCGTTGAGTTCGGGTGTTCTCGGATTGATGGCGGCAGCTTGTCGGGCGACCGCACGATCGATCGAACGTGCTCACCGCCGCTGAGCAACTGCTCCACGACCAAACGGCCGGTCGCCCCGCTGGCGCCAACGACGAGGGTGGTCATCGGCACGCTCCCGGCAACAATGAGCAAACACTCGTCAGATCAACTTCACTCATCCCGCTACGAGACGACATGGCGACGCACCGCACAAGCCACGCCCTTGCCCTGCTCGTCTTGACAGCCCTAGTCGGGTCTTCCGTCGCCGAAGGCTGGCCACAGTGGCGGGGGCCGTCGCGCGACGGTCACGCGGTGGGCGACGCCTGGCCCGACTCACTAGCCGAAGACCGCCTGACACTGCGGTGGCGGGTCGAGCTCGGGCCGAGCTACTCCGGGCCGATCGTCGTCGGCGACCGGGTCTTCACGACCGAGACCCGGGGCGAAGAGACCGAGGTCGCCTCGGCCTACAACCTCCGCACGGGCGAGAAGGCGTGGGAGACCGAGTGGCCCGGAGCGATGACGGTCCCCTTCTTCGCCGCAGCGAACGGCAGCTGGATTCGTGCGACGCCGGTCGCGGACGATCAGACGCTCTACGTCGTCGGCATCCGCGACGTTCTAGTCGCCCTCGACCAGGCGAGCGGCGAGGAGCGGTGGCGGGTCGACTTCCCGGCCGACCAGGGGACCGACGCCCCGAAGTTCGGCGCCGCGTCGTCGCCGCTGCTCGACGGCGGCCACGTCTACGCCCAGATGGGGAGTGGCTTCGCGAAGGTCGACAAGGCGACCGGCGAGGTCGTCTGGCGCGTCGCCCGCGACTCCGGCGGCATGTCGGGCGGGGCGTTCAGCTCGCCCTACCTGGCGGAGATCGACGGACGATCGGTGGCGGTTGTGCAAACCCGCAACGACCTGGTCGGCGTCGACCCCGAGTCGGGCGAGCAACTCTGGTCGCACCCGATCGAGGCGTTCCGCGGCATGAACATCCTCACGCCCACCGTCTACCGCGGTGAGCTCTTCACCAGTGCCCACTCCGGCCGCTCGCAGCTCTGGCGGCTCGTCGGCGCCTCGACCAAACAGCTCGAGGAGGTCTGGCGGAACAAGTCGCAGGCTTACATGTCGTCGCCGGTGGTGGTCGGCGACCACCTCTACCTGCACCTCAAGAACCAGCGCGTGCAGTGCCTCGACCTGGCGACCGGCGAGGAGGCGTGGCGGAGCCGCCCCTACGGCAAGTACCAGAGTATGGTCGTCGTCGGCGACCGCATCCTCGCGCTCGACTCGGACGGCGAGCTGCTGATGTTCCGCGCGAGCCCCGAGTCACTGGACGTCGTCGACTCTCGCCGGGTCAGCGAAGACGAGACCTGGGCCCACCTCGCGGTGTGCGACGGCGTGGTCGTCATCCGCGAGCTGAACGCCCTGGCCGTCTACGACTGGCGGTGAGTTTTGTCGGGGGGGCTCGAAACGGTCACCCCCGACAGAACCCCCTGTTCTCGCGCCGGAAGTCGTTGCCTAGCAGTGGGTTAGAGTTTTGTCGGGGGGTATAGGAACGCCTGCAACACTTTGTAGCTGTCAGCCAGTGGCATTATCGCCCGACGACGTACCCGACTCACTCTGAGAGTTCGGTCGCACCCCACCGTTGCGGTGGTCTCCGTGGCAAAGCCAGCATGACCATGCGATCTTAGGTCGCATGCGGCTTACAAGCGTCTGATATGGATCCGCCTATCGCAGGTACTCTCATGGACAATAAGCGACGGTACCTGACGTACATCGACGGTGATTACTCTCTCGACTTCTGGTCGGACGTAGCCGTTGTCCATGCAATCGAACTGGCCAACAAGCTGTCGTCGGAAGAATGGAGGAGCTTAGAGCACGAGTGGCTATCGCAGAAGCAACGCGTACAAGTGCGTATCGCAGAGACCGCAAGCGAAGTAGTAGATTGGTGCGAGTGTATCGGCAAGATGCTTCTCAGAATGGTGCGTTCGGACGACCTTGAGCTTATTGAAGCCAGCGTTGATTCACTGAACTCCGTTTATCAATCTGCCCCTGAAAGACTCGCCGCATCGGACCTGAAGCAAGCGCTGGATTCCCTACAACTGCACAGCCCGGTATCCCAGGTCTTGTTTGAATCGTTGGCTGCGAGAGTCGCCGGCGATTAGTGTGGCGTGCCAAAACAAGACGGTGGGCCTTCGGCGCCACCCTACGGCGCGATCCCGCTCATTTCGCCGCGCGAAGCGCTTCGGCCGGCACGCGACCTTGCAGCACCACCACTGGCTCGGTCTCCGGCGAGGTCGCCGGGAGGTCGAGCACCGTGTCTTCGGAGGACTCGTCGCGTGACGGCTCGTCCGCCTTCTGCTGCTTGCAGCCGCGGCACATCAGCAGGATGTACGCGCTGGGGGCGAACACGAGCGCCAGCAGCGTCGCGCCGCCGACGCCGCCGGCGATCGTCACCGCCATCGGCGGCCAGAAGCCGCCGCCGCCGAGGATCAGTGGCAGGAAGCCGGCGATCGTCGTGAGCGTCGTCGCGACGACGTGACGGCTGGAGCGGACCACCACGTCGCGGACCGCTTGCGGGTCGCCTTCGCGCGAGCGCTTGTCTTCGCGCAACGCGGCGAGCACGACGATCGTGTCGTTGATCGCGACGCCCACCAGGCCCATCGAGCCGATGATCGCCGTGAAGCCGAACGGGAAGCCGGCGATCGAAAGCGCGCCGACGCTTAGGCCGATCGACAGCGCCGCGACGACGCCGATCAGGGCGCCCATCCGGAAGCTGCCGAACGACAAAACGAGCGTCGTCGCCATCAGCACCATCAACACCGCGACGCTCGACATCAGATTGCCAACCGCCTGGTCGCGTTTCGACCCCTCGCCGCCGTACTCGAGTCGGTAGCCGGGCGGCAGTTCAAACTCCGACGCGGCGAGCCGCTCGCGGAAGGCGGCCTCCGCCTCGGCCGGCAGCGTGCCGGCGGTGACGTAAGCCTTCACCTCATTCATGCGCTCGGAGTTGAAGTGCGGGATGGCGGACCACTCCGGCGTGAGCCGCACGCTCGCCAGCGCCGCGAGTGGCGTGCGTGACGCGGCGCCGTCGGCCGAACGACCCACCAGGTCGACCGTCGCCACCTCCGCCAGGTCGCTCCGCGACGCGCCCTCGACGCGAACGCGGACCGGCAAGTTCTCGGTCGCCTCGAGCACCGAGCCGCCGACGGCGCCCTCGAGCACCGCGTCGAGCTGGCTGGCGATCTGGCCGTTGTCGAGGCCGGCCAGCCGGGCGCTCGCCTCGTCGATCGCGAGCTCGAGCTTTGGCAGCACCTCCGACAGGTCGGACTGCGTGTGGACGACGTTGGGCGTCTCCGAAAGGACACGCCGCACGACGACGCCGAGCGCCTGCAGCTCCTCGAGGTCGGGGCCGTACAAGCGGACTTCGATCGGCGCCTCGAACGGTGGGCCTTGTTCGAGCTGCCGCACGAGGAACCGCCCGTCGGGCAGGGCGGTGTCGAGCGTGTTCTGGACACGCTGGATCGTCTCGGCGTAGTCCTCTTTGGAGTCGAGCTGCACGATCGCTTGGGCGTACTGCGGCGTGCCGGCGCGGTTGGCCATCATGTTGTAGTAGAACGACGGGGCGCTCTCGCCGAGGAACCAGTCGACAGCGATCACACGCGGGTCGTCGAGCAGCAGGTCGCGGGCCGCCTGGGCGACACGCTCGGTCGCCGCGATCGACGCGCCGGCCGGCAGGTCCATCTGGATCTGGAACTGGTCGCGCTCGGCGGGCGGGAAGAATTGCTCGGTGAGCGTCGTCGCGAGCCCAAAGCCAAGCAAGGGCGGCGTCGCGGCGATCAGGATGCCGAGCGCGGGACGACGGAACAGGAAGTCGAGCGCCCGGCGGTAACCAGCCGTGAGCTTGGCCGACGAGAAACCGCTGACCCACCAAGCCCGTGGCGATTGCGGCTTCGCGGAAGGACTCATCAAGATCGCCGCCACGGCCGGCGTGATCGTCATCGCCAAGAAGAACGACGAGGCGATCGCCAGCATCACGCTGATCGCGATCGCGCCCACAAACTCGCCCGCCGGCCCGGGCATCAGCGCGATCGGCGCGAACGACAGGCAGGTGGTCAGCGTCGAACCGAAGAGCGGCGCCGCCAGGTGATTGACGCTCTTGGCGACCGCCGCGCCGGGGTCTTCGCCCGAGTGGAGGCGTTCGGCCACCTCGTCGACGATGACGATCGCGTTGTCGATCAACAGGCCCAAAGCGATGATCAGGCCGGTGACCGACATCTGGTGGACCGGGATCTCGAGCCACCTCATGCCCGAGAGCACCATCAGCGACGCCAGCGGCAACGCCGAGCCAACGATCAACGCGCTGCGCCACCCCATCATGAACCAGATGACGCCCATCACGGCCGAGGCGCCGACCAGCAAGCTCATCAGCAGCGTGTTGAGCCGCGTCGCGACGTAGCGGTTCTGCTCGAACACCGACTCGAGCCGCACCGCAGGAGGCAGCTCCTCGGCGAACTCGTCGACGACCTCCTGCGCGCGGGCGGCCCACAGGTCGAGCCGTTGGTCGCCCCGCACCAACACGCCGACGGCGATCGCCGGCTGGCCCTCGACGAGCGCCAAGCGCCGCGGCGGATCGGCGATGCCCTTGCGCACCTCGGCCACCGCTCCCAGCGTGACGAAGCGGCCCGCCTCGCCCGAGCCGAAGCGGATCGGCGTCGCGGCGATGCGGCGGACGGTGTCGAGTTCCGAGTCGACCTCGATCAGCAGCGAGCCGTCGGGGCCACGCACCAAGCCGGCGGCGGTCTTCGCGTCGCTCGCGTCGAGCTGCGCGGCGACGTCCGCGGCAGTGAGGCCCAGGGTCGCCAATTGGCCGGCGTCGATCGCGATGGTGATCTCTTCGGCCGGGTCGCCGAAGGTGTCGACCTCCCGCGTGCCGTAGACCGCGCGGAGTCGCTGCTCGAGCTCTTCGGCCAGGCGGCGCAGCACCGCGTAGTTCGCCTCGCCGGGGGCGTCCCACCGGAGGGCGACGATCTGCGCGTACGCGACGACCTCCAGGAGGTCGAACTCCGGGTCGCTCGCCCCGGCGGGCAACAGCGGCTTGGCGTCGTCGATCTTGTCCCGCACACGCGACCAGACCTCGCCCGCCTCATACACGTCATCGCGGAGCTCGGCGGTGATCGTCGCGACGCCCGACCGGCTGGTGGAGCGGAGCTCCTTGATCTCGGGGATCTCTTGCAGCTCTTCTTCGATCGGGTCGACGACGAGCGCCTCGACCCGCTCGGGCGTGGCGCCGGGCAGCAGCGTGTTGATGATCGCGACGCGCTGCGTCAGCACCGGGTCCTCCATCCGCGGGAGGATGAAGAACGACGACAGCCCCGCCACAACGATCAGCAAGATCGCCATCACCAGCAGCCGGCGGTTGTCGTAGAGCAAGCGGTTCATCGTAGGACCGTGCGGTGGTCGGGGAGTGGGGCTTGGGCAGGAACCTAGGGCGCCGACGCGGCGGCGACGCGTTGGCCGGCGACGACGCGGTGCGCGCCGCCAACGATCACCCGCTCGCCCGGCTGCAGCGCGCCGCGGACGAACGAACGGTCGCCGTCGTTCTCGATGATCTCGACCGGACGCGGAGCGGCCTTGCCCGCGTCGTCGACCACCAGCGCGGACCAGAGGCCGCGGCGATCGGGTGTCAGCGCGGCGGTCGGGACCCAGATGCCCTCCATCGCTACCGGCTCGCGGACGCCGATCCGAACGACCTGACCGGCGACGAGGCCGCGCGGCTCGTGCAGGTCGAGCACGACCAGCTGCGTCCGCGTTGTGTTGTCGAGTTCGGGCCGCACCGAGCGGACCGTCGCGTCGTACGCCACGCCAGCGATCTTCACGCCGAGCTTCATGCCGGGCTCGACCAACGCGGCCGACGCGGGCGGCGCTCCGACCCAGGCCTCGAGCTTGTCGTCTTCGATCAGGTCGAACACCGCTTCGCCGGCGGCGACGACGGCCCCCTCGTCGAGGCGGCGGGCTGCGATCCGCCCCGCGAAGGGCGCCCGCAGCTCGGCGTCTTCGATCTCGTGCTTGATGTCGGCCAGTCGCGCCTCGAGCGACGCGACCCGGGCGCGCTGCGCCTCGACCTGCTCGACCCGCGTGCCGGCGAGCAGCTCGTCGAGTTGCTTTTGCTCGACGTCGACCCGCGCCTCGGCGGCGCGGAACTCGAACAACGCGTCGTCGTACTCTTCTTGGCTCACGGCGCGGCTTTCGACGAGCTGCGCCCGGCGGTCGAGACGCCGCCGCGAAACGTCGCGTTGCGCCGCGAGGTTGCGAACCTCGGCTTCGGCGGCGGCGATCGTCTCGTCACGCGGGCCCTTGATCAGCTCGCGGAGAACGGACGACGCCTGAGCGAGGTCCGCCTCGGCTTGAGCGCGACGCGCCACGAGGCGGCGTGTGTCGAGCGACGCGAGCAGCCGGCCTTGCTCAACGCGTTCGCCTTCGTCCGTCTTCAGATCGACGAGCTTGCCGGCGCGCTCAAACGACAACGCGCTGCGTCGCCGCGCGACGAGCGTGCCGGTGTAGACCCGTTCGCGGAGGATCGAGTCGACCGGCGTGGCCGTTTCGACCTTCACCGGCAACGGGGCCTTCGCTGAATCGGACGTGTCGGCCTGTGCGATCGACGCGCCGAGTAAGGCAAACGTGATCACCGCAAAACGATGCGTCACAATTTGACGCATCGTCAAAACGTCGGCAAAAAAAGACGCGTTACGCGAACTGGTCATGGCGAAAGAGCTCTCGCTTCACTTGGTCCATGTGACCGGGGTAGTCGAAATCAGCGAACAACGGCTTCCAGCCGTAGCCGTCGAGCATGTGACTCTGGTTCGTGCGGAGCGACGCGATCGGATTTTCGATCCCGATCTCCGCCAGCGTGGCGCTCGTGCTAGAGATGATTTGCGTGCCGAGGTAGATCGACCACATGCCAAAGACGATTTCTTCCGGCCGGACGCCTTCGGGAAGCACGAGGTCTCCGGCGACGACCGCGTCTTGAACAACGGCGACAACCGTCTCCATGCAGCTCCGTTCGCAGGTCTCCATCAACCCACGCCGTTCGGGCGAGGTCTTCTCCCAGATGGAAGCCAAGCGGACGATCTGCTCGACCTGGAACCAGTGCGGGAACTGCTCGACGAACGCCTCGGCCGCGGCGCCGATCGTTGCGAGCCTCACCCGATGCGGGCCGTCGTACGCGGCCGCTTCGCGGAACATCCGCACGCGGGTGTCGAGCGCCTCGTTCGCCAGCGCCAGCAGGATCTCTTCCTTGTTGCGGAAGTGCTGGTAGATCGTGCCCTTGGAGTACTCGATCTGGGCGGCGATGCGGTCCATGTTCAGACCGAGGTAGCCGTCCTTGATGAGCTGGTCGCGGGCGACCGCGAGGATCTGCTTCTCGCGTGCCCGGATTTCGCGCTGCTTGCGCGACTCGCCGCGACGCGAGGCGACCGAATCGGTCGCTTCGGGGGGGCTCGACGGGCTGGAGGGCGAGGCGGACATGGCTTATTGACTGATCGTCAATTTTCGACGGCTTGTCAATCTAATCTACGCCAAACCGTGCCAGCAGTTCAAGAAAAAGGCCCGAAATCGTGCCTTTGGGCCGCGTTTCGGGGCCCACGTCGTGGTCCGAGACAGCGCTCGGCGGGGCTTCAGCTCTCGCTGATCACCTCTTTGACCGGCTGCACGAAGTGCGGCGATTTGCCTTTCGCGCTCAGCTCTTCCGCCTTCTTCACCGCTTCCTTCTTCTGGCTGTAGTCGTACAGGGCCACCCGCTTGAGCGACTGGTTGAAGACGCCCCAGAAGGCCTTCAGCCGCACTTCCGCGGCCGCTTTCGCCCGCGACTTGCGCGGCGCCGCCTTCTTTTTCTTCTTCTTGGGGGCCAGGGCCTCTTCGGCGGCTTCCTGGGCTTCGGCGGCTTCCGCCTCGGCGCGGAGATCCTTGCGGCTGACGACCTTACGAGCCATGGGCGGCCTTCTTCGGCGAGCTGAGCGAATCACGAAACCATCGCCAGGGCCCGGCCCCGGCGGCGAATCCCCGATTCTAACGGCTCAGGCCGCCGTCTCCTACCGGCCGCGGCTACGCGCCGCTGGAGGGCGGCGGGTCGGCCTCGATCGTGATGTCCAGCTTCTCAGCGGCCCGCAGAAGCCCCGCCTGGAAGTAAATGATCGCGCGGTGCCGGCCGCCCCGCTTGGCGGACTTGGAGCGGGCCCAGTTGAAGAACCGATCGACGAACTTCTCCGAGACATCACCGCGATTCACGGTGTCGAGAACCGCATCGAGGAAGGCGAATTCGCTCGGTCGACGCGCCTGGAGGCCGGCGACGAGCCGCTCTTCGAGCGTCGCTTCGCGGTTCGAGATCGTCTGACCGGCCGCCTGGTGCTCGCTAGCGACGATCGCCGCCAGCAACAGGCATGCCAGAGCCGAAACACGCTTGAATCGTGGTCGAAGCACCGTGTCGCTCCTGTCCAACGCGGAGGGAAAACCGCCACGCCGGTTTCGGTAGCAGAAACGCTGGCTCCGCGGCAACCGCAACCGGCGTGGCCGAAGGTTTCGCGTGCCCAGAGGGGTTCCGCGGGCTATGCTTTGTCAGTAACCTCCGCCCGTCGCGGCAAAAGGAAACAGACGCCGGACGTCGGCGGCCGATACCGACACTCGCGGCCTCGCCCACCACGGGAACGGGGCCGACCACCAAGCCATTGAGCGATCAAACTCTCCGATTCGTATTCCGCCGGGAGGACCTAAAAATTCGATTGGCCCAGGCCGACTGAAGGCAGCGCGCAGCGCTGTTTGGCTTGCGTCTTTCTTCGAGCGACTCCACTCCGTCGCAATCGGGTCGAGAGTTTGAACAAGGAAGCCGCGGTTGGCGTCACGCCGGCCGCGGCTTTCTTTCTGCGCGGCGAGGTCGGACACTGAGGGGACCCCGCAGCCGTCAACGGCAGTCGATGGCTGCGTCCTTCCGTCGACCGTCGGCTGCCGCCGACGGCTGAGAGCCGATCAACGTGGCAACCAACCTGCACACCAACGCGCCGTGGCGCCGTGACTACCCGTTCGGGTCGCAGTGGTTGCCGCTGGACGCCGGCCGGCTGCACTACGTCGACGAAGGCCCCGCCGACGCCGAGCGGACTCTGCTGTTCGTCCACGGGAACCCCACCTGGTCGTTCCACTGGCGGCGGCTCATCGTCGGCTTGCGTGACGCGCACCGCTGCGTCGCCATCGACCACCTCGGCTGCGGACTCAGCGACAAGCCGCAACGCGGGTTTCGGCTGGCCGATCGGGTCGAGCACCTCGGCCGGCTCGTCGACGAGCTAGACCTGCGACGCGTGACGCTCGTCGCCCAAGACTGGGGCGGAGCCATCGGCCTGGGGGCCCTGCTCGACCGGCAAGAGCGGCTCGACCGTGTGCTGCTGTTCAACACCGGCGCCTGGCCGCCGCGGTGGGTCCCGGCGCGGATCGCGGTTTGTAAGACGCCGGTGCTCGGCAAGTTGGCGTTGCAAGGCGCCAACCTCTTCTCGCTCGCCGCCCTGCGGATGACGCTCAACCGAACACGCCTCGACGCGGCGACCGCCGAGGCCTACCTAGCGCCGTACAACAACTGGGCGAACCGGCGGGCGGTCTACGAATTCGTCGCCGACATCCCTCGCAACTCGAAGCACCCGACTTGGCAGACCCTCGCGGGGATCGAATCGCGTCTCCCCGAACTGAAAGGGCTGCCGCTTCGATTGGTCTGGGGCATGCGTGACTGGTGCTTCGACCCGCGCTGCCTCGCACGGTTCCGCGAGATCTGGCATGACGCCGCCGCGCTCGAAGTCCACGAGCTCGCCGACGCCGGCCACTGGGTCGTCGAAGACGCGCCGGAAGAATGCATCGAGCAGTTGCAGTCGTTCGTGTCCGGCCCCGCTGCGCCGGCGGCCGCCGCGACAGCGGCAGGAGAGTAGCCGATGGCCGGTAGCCAGCAGCCGACCGCCTCGTACGCGATTCGCCTCGCGAAGGAGCCCTTCACGTTCGCGGCGGCTCACTTCATCACGTACGCCGGCGACACCTGCGAGCCACTGCACGGCCACAACTACCGCGTCAGCGTCGAGATCGACGGCCCCCTCGACGAGAACGGCTACGTACGAGACTTCGTCGCGACGCGCGACTCGTGGGCTGAGCTGATCGGCCGGCTCGACCACCGCGTGCTGCTGCCGACCCAGCACCCCCTGATCCGCGTTCAGCAAGCAGAAGGCCCGCTCGGCGCCGCCGAGGTCGTGGCGACGTTCCGGGATCGTCGCTGGGTGTTTCCCGCCGACGAGTGCGCGCTGCTGCCGATCGCCAACACCACCGCCGAGCTGATCGCGACTTGGCTGGCCGAGCAGTGGCTCGCCGACCTGGCGAAATCGGGCCAGGCGCCGCCGCCGAGCTTGGTGGTCGGCGTTGACGAGTGCGACGGGCAGGTCGGCGTGTGCCGGCTAGCGCGATCCTAGCGCAACGGCGACCGGCAGAGCCGTCGCATCCGGCCCGACCGCTCGCTCCGCCTAGTCTGCGGAATTCTGAAAGAGGTTCCGGCACCCTCGGTAGGTGAAACAACCTACGTTTGCGAACCCAAGTCCTGCGCTAGCTCCCTCCCGCGCGACGAATCGCCGCGGAGCGCCATCGACTCCCTTGGAACTCGCCGACTAGGAACGCGTCGCATGAAGGTCGAACACATCAACCCGTTCCTCAAGGCGGTGACGACCACCTTCGAGACGATGCTCGCGGCCGACGTGCATCGCGGCGAGCTGACGCTCGGCGACCCGAAAATCCGACAGTTCCCGGTCAGCGGCCTGATCGGCTTGTCTGGCAAGGCGTCGGGAATGGTTGTGATCAATCTGTCGGCCGAGGCCGCGTTGCAGGCGGCCTCAGCGATGCTGATGGAAGAACAAACCGAGTTGAACGACGACGTGCTCGACGCTATCGGCGAGCTGGCGAACGTCATCGCCGGCCAGGCGAAGGCCGACCTCGAGGAGTACGATCTGTCGGTCGGCCTGCCGAGCGTCGTGACGGGCGAGGGCCACGAGATCCGCTTCCCGTCGTCCACGCCGCCGCTGGCCGTGCCGTTCAAGACCGACTTCGGCCCGATCCGCCTGGAGGTCGGCTTCGAACCGTCGGCCGAGCCGGTCGCCGTCTGAGGGCGTGTCAGCCACAATCTATGCGGGGGAGCCCACCGCCGCTGGCGCCGCCAGCGGCGGTTTCGTTTGCGCGACCGTCAAAATCGCTCAGGGCAAGCCACCGGGGCGGACGATCAGAGGCGATGTGCGGCGTCGTGCCGTATCGCTCTTCCAGGTCTCATCCGGCGCCGCTGCGATGTCGAACGCCCACAACGCCGCCGTTCTGTTGACCAGCTTGCCCGAGGAGCAAGCGGGTCAGCTCCTGAGCCTGATGGAACCGCACGACGTCGAGCAGGTCTCGATCGAGATCGCCCGACTCGACCGGGTGTCGAACGAAGAGCAGGAGCAGGTGATCCGCGAGTTCTCGGAGACCAACCCGGCCGCCAGCGGCGCCGGCGGCGGCTTCGACTACGCGAAGAAACTCGTCAAACAGGCGCTCGGCAAGGATTCGGGCGACGCGATCGACAACCTGCGGCAGTCAGTCGAGGCGCTCCCGTTCGGCTTCCTCCGGAACATCGACAGCCAGAACATCCTCACGTACATCGTCGACGAGCACCCGCAGACGATCGCCCTGATCATCTCGCACCTCCCCGCGTCGTTCGGGGCCGAGATCCTGTCGGGCTTGCCCGCCGAGCGGCAGCTCGCCGTCGTCCGACGGATGGCGACGATGGGGCAGACCAACCCGGAGATCATCAAGGAGGTCGAGGCGGGGCTCGAGCGACGCATGTCGAGCGTCATGAGCCAGAGCTTCCAGATGGCGGGCGGCGTCGAGTCGGTCGCCGCGATGCTCAACGTCTCCGACCGCGCGACTGAGCGCAACCTGCTCGAAGGCCTCGGCGCCGACGACCCGGAACTCGTCGAGGAGATCCGCCGCCTGATGTTCGTCTTCGACGACATCGGCCGCTTCGGGCCCAAGGAGATGCAAACGGTCATGAAGTCGGTCGAGAGCTCGCAGTGGGCGCTCGCCCTGAAAGGCGCCAGCCCGGAGCTGAAGGACAAGGTCCTCAGCAGCATGTCCCAACGCGCCGCCGACATGCTCCGCGAGGAAATGGAGTACCTCGGCGCCGTCAAGCTGTCGGCCGTCGAGGACCAGCAGCAACAGATCGTCGACGTGATCCGCGGTCTAGAGGACGCCGGCGAGCTCGACCTCAACCAGTCGGGCGAGGAAGAAGAGCTGGTGCAATGAGGTCCGGCATTGGACCTGAGGGTTGAGGCGTGGGGGTCGGTGGGGCAAGCTCTTGCCTTCGACCGTCCCCGCCTCACGCCTGCAGCCTCCTTCCCCCGCGTGGCCGTCAATCCTTCCCCCATGATGCGGCAGTACTTCGAGGCCAAGGAGGCCTCGGGCGACGCGCTGCTGCTGTTCCGCATGGGGGACTTCTACGAGCTGTTCTACGAAGACGCCAAAGAGGCGTCGCGTCTGCTCGGCATCACGCTCACGACGCGCGACAAGGACAAGGCGGAGAAAGCCGTGCCGATGGCCGGCTTCCCGCACCACCAGCTCGACGCCTACTTGGCGAAGATCCTCCGCTGCGGCCGCCGCGCTGCGGTCTGCGAGCAAGTCGAGGACGCCAAACAAGCGAAGGGGCTCGTGCGGCGCGAGGTGACGCGGATCGTCTCCGCTGGCACCGTCACCGACGACGAGCTGCTCGACCCGCAGGCGAGCAACTACCTGGTCGGCGTCGCCTTCGACGGCAGCGCACCGAAGGGCGAAGCTCGCCCCGCGGTCGGGCTCGCTTGGGTCGACGTCTCGACCGGCGAATTCACCGCCACGGCGATCGACGAACGCCGGCTCGCCGACGAGCTGTCACGGCTCGACGCGGCGGAGTGCCTGGTCGCCGAGGAACGCGAAGCGCTGCTGCCCCCAGAAGCGGGCGAGCGGTCGGCCGTCACCCGCCGCCCCGGCTGGTCGTTCGGCGTGCAGACGGCGACCGAAGCCCTTCGCAAGCACTTCGGCACCCAGTCACTGGAGGGCTTTGGTTTCAACGGCGAGCAAGCGAGCGACGCCTTGGCTTTGTCCGCGGCCGGCGCCGTGCTCGGCTACCTGCAAGAGACGCAGAAAGGCTCACTCGCCCACATCGAACGGCTGCGCCCGCATCAGGCCGACGCCGCGATGCAGATCGACGCGGCCACGTGGCGGAGCCTCGAGATCACGCATACGATCCGCGACGGCCGCCGCGACGGAGCGCTGCTCGGCGTGATCGACCGCACCGTCACCGGCGCCGGGGCGCGACGGCTCGCGGAGTGGCTCCGCCGCCCGCTGACGGACGTCGGCTCGATCAACCAGCGCCTCGACGCGGTCGAGGAGCTCGTCGGCGACCCGTCGCTCGGCGACGCGTTGCGCGAGGAGTTAAAGGGGGTCTACGACCTTCAGCGTCTGGTCGCCCGCGCGACGACCGGCCGCGCTTCGCCGCGCGACTTGGCGAGCGTCGGCCGCACGCTGGGCGCCTTGCCGCGTGTGAAGGCGAAGCTCGCCGGCCGACGGAGCGAACGCCTCGGACGGCTCGACGACCACATCGACTTGTGCGGCGAGTTGCGCGAGCGCCTCGCCGCGGCGCTGGCCGACGACTGCCCGCTCTCCAGCCGCGAGGGCGGGTTCATCCGCCCCGGGTTTTCGGCCGAGCTCGACGAGTGTCGCGAGCTGATGGCCGGCGGCAAGCAATGGATGGCCCAGTACCAAGCCAAGATGCAGGCCGAGTGCGACATCCCGTCGATCAAGGTCGGCTTCAATAAGGTCTTCGGCTACTACCTGGAGGTGACGCACGCCCACACGTCGAAGGTGCCCGCCGACTTCATCCGCAAGCAGACGCTCAAGAACGCCGAGCGCTACATCACGCCGGAGCTCAAGGACTACGAGGAGAAAGTCCTCTCGGCCGAGGACCGCGCGTTCGCGCTGGAGTACGACCTGTTCGTCGAGCTGCGTGAGCTGACCGCCGCCGCGGGCACGCGGCTGCTGACAACGGCCGACGCGCTGGCCGAAGTCGACGTGCTCGCCGCCCTGGCGGAGCTCGCCCGGTCGCGCGGCTACTGCCGACCGACCGTCGTCGACCAGCCAGTGCTCGACATCACGGCGGGCCGCCACCCGGTGTTGGACCTGACCGAGCCGGAAGGGACGTTTGTGCCCAACGGCTGCCGCTGCGCGGCCAGAGTGGAAAGCGGAGAGCGGAAAGCGGAGAACTACGAGGCCGGGGCCGCGTCCGAAGACTCCGCTTTCCGCTCTCCGCCTTCCACTCTCCTCCTCACCGGCCCTAACATGGCCGGCAAGAGCACCTACATACGCCAGACGGCGCTGCTGACGTTGATGGCGCAGGTCGGCAGCTTCGTGCCGGCCGAGGCGGCGAAGATCGGCGTGGCGGACCGGTTGTTCGCGCGCGTCGGGGCGAGCGACGACGTGTCGCGTGGGCAGAGCACGTTTATGGTCGAGATGACCGAGACGGCGCGTATCCTCAACACGGCGACGCCGCGCTCGCTCGTGATCCTCGACGAAATCGGCCGCGGCACGAGCACGTACGACGGGCTGTCGATCGCTTGGGCGATCGTCGAACACCTGCACGACGTGGTCGGCTGCCGCACGCTGTTCGCGACCCACTACCACGAGCTGACCCAACTCGCCGACCGACTGCCGGGCGTCGGGAACCTCAGCGTCGCGGTGCGCGAGCACGACGGCGGCGTCGTCTTCCTACACCAGATCGTCGAAGGCCCGGCCGACAAGAGCTACGGCATCCACGTCGCACAACTGGCGGGCGTGCCGCGCGCCGTCAACGAACGCGCCGAGGCGATCTTGGCCGACTTGGAATCGAGCCAAGCGGACGGCCAACAGCCGATCACCAACAACCCGCCCGTTGGCCTGCAGATGACGCTCTTCGAGACGGCCGATCACCCGTTGCTAGACGAACTGCGTTCGCTCGACCTCGACCGCACGGCGCCGCTCGAGGCGTTCGAGTTCCTCCGAGCGTGGCGGCAGAAGCTGCTCGCCGAACGGTGACTCGGCGAAGGACCAATGACCAAGCCCCAATGACCAGTGCTTGCTCGCAAGCGCTTCTCGGTCATTGGCGCTTGGTCATTGGTCATTTCTCGATCAGCTCGTCGAGCGCCAGGTGCAACTCGCGGTGGGTCGACAGGGTGTACTCCACGTCGAACCAGACGACCTTGCCCACCGGGTCGAGGACGTAGACCCGTGGCATGCGGCCCTCGCCGAGCAGCTCGCCGAGTTTCGCGTCGTCGACCGCCAGCGTCTTCACACCGTCGCCCAGCGCGCCAAGCGAGACGAACCGAACGCCGCGGTCTTGGTACATCGGGGCGAAGTCCTTCGAGAGGTCGCCCCCCATCATCTGCGTCATCCAAGCCGGCCCGCCCGGCACGGCGACGACCGTCGCCTTGTCGCCCCGCAGGGCTTCGAGCTTCATCGACGCGCCCGATTCGGCGCGGCCTTCCACTGCCGGGAACGGGTCGCCGACTTGCACCCGGCACATCGCCTCGTGCTCGGCCGACAAGACGACGGCGGGGATCGCGACGAGCAACGAGATAGCGGGCGGCATCGGCCGGCTTCCTTCCGAAACGACGGCGGCGTCAAATCAGCCCCCATTGGACGAACCCCGTCGATCGGCGTCAACGACTGTTGGGCGCCCCCCGCCGTATGACCCTGCCCGACTGGAAGCTGCCCCCCGGCGTGCCGCGCGGCGCCTGGGACTACACGCAGTCGGCGTCGGTCGCCGAGGACTACGACGAGTACCACGCCCTCAACCCGCTGTTCGAGTTCGAGGAGCAGATCCTTCAAGAGGAGTTTGGCCAGCCAACCGCAGCCGCTCCCGGAGTGATCGCCGACCTCGGCTGCGGCAGCGGCAGGTCCCTGCTGCCGCTGGTGCGAGCCGGGTGGCGTGGCCTGGCGATCGATCTCTCGGAGGCGATGCTCGACGTCGTCCGCGAGAAGGCCGAGCTCGACGGGCTGGAGATCGACTGCGTCCAGGCGAATCTGGTGGAGCTGACGCCCGACCTCGTTGCCGACGAATCCGTTGACCACGCGATGTGCCTCTTCAGCACGCTCGGCATGATCCGCGGCCGGGAGAACCGCCGCACGGCGCTCGGCCACATGCGACGCGTCCTGCGCCCCGGCGGCCGGCTCGTGCTGCACGTGCACAACCTCTGGTGGAACTTGTACGACCCGGTCGGGCCGTGGTGGCTGGCAAAGAGCGTCGCCCGCTCCCTCGGCGGCGGCGACTACGAACTCGGCGACAAGACCTACCCGTACCGCGGCGTGCCGAACTTCTTCCTGCACGTCTTCCGCGCGTCGGAGCTACGCGCCGACCTGCGGGACGCGAACCTCTCCGTCCGCCGCTGGATCCCTCTGGAGGTTGAACGACGCCACGCCCTGTCGCGGCCCTGGCTGCTGCCGTCGCTGCGGGCGAACGGGTGGATCGTCGTCTGCGAGCGCTAGCGAGCGGCGTGTCTGCCCCTCTCCCCCGCTGGGGGAGAGGTTGGGTGAGGGGGTGAACGTTCGGGACAGGAGGGCGCTCCTGTAGTGAGCGTTTACACCCTCCCCTAGCCCCTCCCTCAGCGAGGGAGGGGGATATCTCGGAGCGTTGCCGCGGCGTGCTGACGCGGTGACAATCAGATTACTGCCGTCTGCCTTCTGCCCGCTGCCTACCCCCACCCATGCCGCAACTCACCGCCCCGCAGTTCACCGCCCGCAAGGGCGGCGACGAGAAGCTCGTCGTCCTCACCGCCTACGACCACACGATGGCCCGGCTGGTCGACGCGGCGGGGGTCGACGCGATCCTCGTTGGCGATTCGCTGGGGATGGTCGTGCAGGGACGCGCTAGCACGGTCGGCGTGACGATCGACCAGATGATCTACCACGCGGAGATGGTCGGCCGGGCCGTCGAGAACGCGCTGACGATCGTCGACCTGCCGTTCCCGATCAATCACTACGACACGGGCGCCGCGATCGACGCCGCCGCACGGATCCTCAAGGAGACCGGCTGCCAGAGCGTGAAGCTCGAGGGGGGCGAGGCGCAGGCCGACACGATCCACGCCCTCGTGACGGCCGGCATCCCCGTCATGGCCCACGTCGGCCTGCGGCCGCAGAGCGTCCACCAACTCGGTGGCTACAAGGTGCAGCGCGATCAGGACCAGCTCTCGGCCGACGCCCGCGCCGCGGCGGAAGCCGGCGCGTACGGCATGGTCGTCGAATGCGTGCCGACAACGATCGCCGCGGCGATCACCGACGCGGTCCCGATCCCGACGATCGGCATCGGCGCCGGCCCGGCGTGCGACGGCCAGGTGCTGGTCGTGAACGACCTGCTGGGCCTCACCAGCGGCTACGTGCCGCGCTTCGTGAAGCAGTACGCCGACGTCGGCGACGCGATCGGCAAGGCCGTCGGCGCATTCGCCGCGGAGGTCCGCCGCGGGGAGTTCCCCGGGGCGGATCAGGCGTTTGAGTGACGAGGGTCCGATCGGGCGTAGAATCGACGTCTGACCTCTGTCGAATCCGGAAAGTCGCGTGGACGACGACGTCGCGATAGCAAGTCGCCCGGCGAAGCCAAGGCTCAGCCTGCGCACGTTCTTGATTGGCGCCGTGGTTCTTGGCACGGTCGTCGGTCTCCTCTTTGGTCCAGTGCGGCGGTACGCCACTAGTCGCTACCGAATTGACCGAACAGTAACGCAGATGAGCCGCGTCGGATCGGCGTTGCTTGCGGACGCAGAGGTCTACACCTCGCCGCTGCTCCACGCGTCCGTGGATGCTCCTGAGCTGTCAACCACGACCATCAGTTGGCGCGCCTTGCTGGTCGACGAGCGGTGCGCCTGCCTCGACCACCCTCCTGTGCTGACCAGCCTTGATTGGGATGACTCGGGCAATGCTGCATTCGACGACTGGAGCAATCGCCGGTTCTTCCATCTCTTACCCGAGGGCGCGGGTGAGCACCCCAAGCCTCACGTCGTCGCTGTCGCCGGCGAGGACACCGCGTTCGAGTACCTCTGGCGACGAGCCAAAGAGAAGATCGAGGTTCACGGCGAAGCGATCCTACTGATGGATGTCGCCGACTTCGACCATCACTGGATGTCGCCCCACGACATCACGGTAGCCGAGCTGCTCGGCGACGGCGATCAGCCCGGCAAGCTGCCGACGCCGGTGCTCAAGGAAGGCCGCCTCGTCGTGTTCGCCGACGGCGAGACGTGGCTGCTGTCGAACAACACGCCCGAGGAGAACCTCCTCAAGTTCGTCACCGTCGCCAGCGCCGAGCGGCACGACCGCGAAAAAGAGCTGGGCGGCTACGCCCTGCGGCGGATAAATCGGCGCAAGAATCGGCGGGCGGCCTATTGAATCAGCCCCGGAGGGGCGACGGCGCGTAGCCGGGGGCGAGAGCCCCCGGTCGCAGACCCGCCCACAAGAACGAACCCCGGAGGGGTGACAGCGTCTCGGCTCGCGTAGAGCTGCTGTCGCCCCTCCGGGGCTCGGCGACCAACACGCGTCTGTTTCCGGGGGCTGGCGCCCCCGGCTACGCGCTTTCGCCCCTGCCGGGGCTCGCACTCACCGTCACCGCGGCAGCGAACACGCGCCGCTCTCGCAGTCTTCGGCGCGGCCGGCGATCAGGTAGCGGTTGCGCGAGACCCACGCGTAGACCGGCTTGGCGAAGAGCATGATCCCCGGCAGGTGCGTCACCGGCGCGAGCCACCAGAGCCGCGGCAGCCGGCGGCTGAGGTAACGCACCGCCTCGGCGCCCCAGTGGTGGCGGCCCGAGCGGTCGACGACACACATCTCCTCTAGCAGTCGCTCGTGCGGCGCGTCGGGGTAGCCGGCGGCGACGGCCGGGTCGTGCAGCGAGAGGTAAGCGAGCTTCGCCGAGCCCCCCTCAAACCAGCGGAGCTGCTCGACCCGCGCGCGGCAGAAATTGCACCGCCCGTCGTACAGGACGACGTCGGCCTCGGGCCGTTCGGCAGGAGTCGGCAGCGTCATTTAGAGCTTCCGAGTGGATGTCCCCCTCCCCCGGCACGGGGGAGGCCGCTTCGTTTGTAGCTCGGGGGGAGGGGGCGAACCCGCCAGGTGACTGTCACCGCACCGTGTCGCCCAACACCTGGCTAACCGATCGGCGGCCCTCCTCTGTCACCAGTCTACGCCACACAGCCGGGCGCCTATACTAGGGCGATCCCCTTCGGACCCGGCGGGAGCCCCCCATGGAAGCGATCCAGCAACGCGTCGATGCCGCCCATCGGCGGCTGGTCCTTCGGCAGTGGGCCGGCCGGCTGGCGACCTGGCTGGCGATCTCGCTGGCCGTGGCGGTCATCGCGATCGCGCTGCCGAAGCTCTTCGCCTTGCCCGCCCTGCCTGCTTCGTGGGCGACGGCGTGGCTCGCCGGCGCCGTGGCGATCGGGCTGATCGGGCCGACGCTCTGGACTCTCTGGCGCCAGAAGAGCCGCCTCGACGCGGCGGTGGAGATCGACCAGCGGTTCGACCTCCGCGAGCGAATCGCCAGCGCGCTCAGCCTCAGCGAAGAGGACCTCGCGACCGAGGCGGGCCTGGCTTTGGCCAAGGACGCCGAGCGGGCGATCGCGCGAGTCGAGGTCGCCGAGCGGTTCACGCTCGGGCTCGACCGGCGGGCTTGGCTGCCCGTGGCGCCGGCGCTCGTGGCGGTGTTGCTCGCGACCACCGTCGCCAACCGCACCGCCGACGCGAGCGTCGCCAAGGCCGAGGCCGAGAAGGCGGCCGCCGAAGAAGTGAAGAAAGCGGCCGAGAAGGCACGCCGCGAACTCCGCAAGAAGCGTGAGGAAGCCGACAAGAAAGGACTCGCCGACGCGTCGGCGCTGCTCAAGAAGATCGAGGAAGGCACGGCCGACCTCGCGACGAAGCAGCCGAAGGAAACGAGCAAGGCGGCCGTCAAGCTCAACGACTTGGCGAAGGAACTCGCCGAGCGGCGCAAGAAGCTCGGCGGCGGCGAGGCGCTCCGCAATCAACTCAACCGCATGAAAGACCTCGGCCGGGGCCCGGCGGAGAAGGCGGCCGACGCGATGAAGCGTGGCGACTGGAAGAAAGCGCTCGAAGAAATCAAAGACCTCCGCAAACAGCTCGCCGGCGGCAAGCTCTCCGACGAACAGAAGCAGCAACTCGCCGGGCAGCTCGAGAAGATGCAGCAGCGGCTCGGCGAAGCGGCCCAGCGCCAACAGCAACAGAAGCAAGAGCTCGAGCGTCAACTCGCCGAGGCGCAACGCAAGGGCGACCTGAACCAGGCCGGCAAGCTGCAGCAGAAGCTCCAGCAGATGCAGCAGAAGCAGCAGGGGCAGAAGGCGTTGGAGCAGATGGCCCAGCAGATGCAACAAGCCCGGCAGGCGCTGCAGCAGGGCGACCCGCAGCAGGCGGCTCAGGCGATGGAGCAGATGGCCCAGCAGATGCAGCAGATGCAGCAAGAAGCCGCCGAGATGGAGATGCTCGACGGCGCGATGACCGACATCCTCGCCGCCAAGTCCGAGATGGGCATGGAAGGCGAGCAGATGCTCCCCGGCGGACAAGGGATGGGCCCGGGACGCCAAGGCAAAGGAGGCGAAGGGGAAGGCGACGGTTGGGGCGAGGGCCAGGGCTCCGGGGCCCGGCCGGGCGAAGAGAACGCCGTCAACTTCCGTGACAGCCAGGTCAAACAGAACGTCGGCCGCGGCGCCAGCACCTTCGGCGGGCTCGTCGACGGGCCGAGCATCAAGGGCGAGGTCGTCGAGTCGATCAAGACCCGCCTGACGACCGACGCGGTCGAGCCGGCCGACCCGCTCACCAGCGAGCGGCTGCCCAAGTCGCGGCGGGAGCACGCGGAAGAATACTTCCGAAAGCTGCGAGACCGGCTCTAGGGGGTCACGGCAAGCGGCCCGATCGCTGGACGACGCGGCCGCCGGGGGCCTACAGTGGCGTCCTGCAACTGGATGTCCCAACCGCTGTCCTCTCGCACGCCGGTGTGTCTCGGCGGAGCCGAACGATGTTCTCGACGAAGCAGGCCCCGGGGTCGCTGAGGCCCCTCTCTTTGGCGTTGGCCCTCTCACTCTTGGGCCCTTTCGCCTGGGGTGATGACGCCCACGGTGATTACGCCGAGCAAGCCGCGGCGGCGAAGCAAGCCTTCACTCCGATCGACCAGAGCGACCTGGCGGCCGCGCGCCAGCAGCTTGCCGAAGCGGTGATCGGCGTCGAGCGGCTCGTCGGCGCGACGACGGCCGGCGGCGCCGCGTGGCTCGACTACCTGCGCTGGGACGGGCTGCAACCACAGGTGCTGCCCGACGCGGAAGTCGACCCGGCCGCCGCGCAGGCGACGCTGTTCCGCCTCCGCTCGGGCGCCGACGGCGTCGACCGACCGCCGATGCAGCGACTCGGCGACGCGATCGAGCGTTACGTGAGCGTCGCCCGCTTCACGAACTTCGATGCCGACCGGCAACGCCGCGCCTTCGACGGCGCGGTCGACCGCCTCGGCGAGTGGCTGCCCGACACCGAGCGGTTGCTCTCCGCCGAGGGGAGCCAGAAGGTCGAACAGGTGCTCGCGCTGCTCACGGCGGTTGGCCAGTCGCCACGCAACGAACCCTGCGCGTTGACGCTCGCCGGAGAGGTCGGTCAGCCGAACGCTTACGTCGACGTCTCGACCGAGCTGCTGCGAGACGCCGTCGCACGGCCGGTGAACGACTGCCGCCCGGTGAGCGAGTGCATCCTCGGCACGAGCATCCGTGGCACGGGGGCGACGTCGGGCCACCTGGTGGTGACCCCGCTCGCTTCGTCGGGCTCGGCGCGGTTCTTGTTCACGCTGACCGGCTTGACTCGCTCGAACACGGTCGGCGTCAACGGGCCGGTGACGATCCGCAGCGTCGGCACGACGCCGTTCACCGCTTCGAAGGTGGTCTCGCTGAGCGAGCACGCCTTCAGCACGTCGCCGGCGACGGCGTCGGCGCAGACACGGTCGCGCACGACGGGCGTCTCGAAGACCGGAGGCGGGCTCGGCAGCCGACTCATCGAGAACATCGCCCGCAAGCGAATCGCTCAGAAGCGTGGCCAAGCCGACGCGATCGCCTCGCGCAAGGCGGAGTCGAAGATCGCCGCGCGGCTCGACGAGCAGCTCAACCAGCAAATCGCCGAGGCCCGTGGTCGCTACGACGAGCGCGTCGTCGCGGCGCTCAAGCGGCGCCGTGCGACGCCGCGCGACGGGGCCGTCTCCACTGACGCGGACGGACTGCGGCTCGAGGCGGTCGTCGCCAAAGAGGACCAACTCGCGGCGTGGGACACGCCCTCCGTGGCGGTCGACGCGCCGCTGTCGGTGCGGGTGCACCAGACCGGCGCGATGAACCTGCTCGACAACATCCTCGGCGGCGTGACCTTCTGGCGCGACGCCGCGGACGAGCCGGCGCAGGCCGACATCGTGACGCCCGAGTGGCTCGACCTCGACTTCCCCGCGTTCGGTGGCGACGAGTTCAAGCCTTGGCGCCTGCGGCTGCGGGAGACGCGGCCTGTCTCCATCGAGATGGGTGACGGCGAGGTGAACGTCATCGTCCACCTGGCGGAGTTCGCCCCGGGCGACCGGCGGCACGAGAACTGGGACATCCGCTCCACGTACCGGCCCGAGCGTATCGACGGCCGCTGGGCGATGGTTCGGCAGGGCGACTTCCTCGTCGTCGCCGCCGAGGACCCCGCTAGCAACCGCGAGCGGGCTCAGCGGTACGTCCTGGCGGGCAAGCTGAGCGACCCGGAGAGCGGCGTCGAGCGGGTGATCGACATCGACGCGATCGACCTCTCCGACCGCGACGGGCCGTTCGATCGTCTTTCGCTCGTCGACCTGCAGCTCGGCGCCGGCTGGGCCGCCGCCGGCTGGCAGGCGGACTGAACCGCTCGGCAGCGGTCTTCTCTTCGCGACGCTAGCGTCGCCTGCTGCGCGGCCCGGGATTCCCCGCGGGTTTTGTGAAGCTGTAGCGATCAGGCGGACGATGACAATTCTGCTGATTGCTCCGGCTCGGGGTAGGCGGCCGCGCTGCATGCGTTGGCGGCTAGGGAGAGCCGGGACTTTCAGGGGGAGGGCAATCGACCCGTTCGCCGCGAACGGGTCGCCAACGCGTCCGCGACGCTGACGACGAACGAGTCCCCGTGGGTCGGGGGCCGCGTCGGCTTCGGGGACCCAAGACCGCCTGGAAAGCCCGCTATGCATCGGCAAACGCGCGAATTCTTCTGCGTCCTGCTCGCCGCCGCGATCTTCGCGACCGGTTGCGCGCCCACGCAGCCGTTCTTCTTCATGGAAGACGGCGACCTGAGCCACTACGTCGACGTGGCGACGCAGATCGACTACCCGGACGTCGCCGAGCCGGTGCTCGACGAGGTCGCGCACGCCCAGGCGCCGCTGACGCTCCGCAACGCGGACGACTACGAGATCTGGGACCTCACGCTCGAAGAGGCGACCCGCATCACGCTGACCAACAGCCAGGTGATGCGCCAACTGGGCGGCGTCGTCCAGGAGAACGCCCCCGAAACGATCTCGCGGAACCTGATCAACTCGGCGGCCGTCACGACGACGTACGACCCCGCCCTGACCGAGTCGGCGACCGGCACGGCGTTCGGTTCGCAGTTCAACGGCACGGGCACCGAGGCTGCGCTCTCGGCGTTTGACGCGCAGCTCGACTCGAGCGTCACTTGGGGCAAGAACTCACGCCAGCAGAACACGTCGCCGATCAGCCCGACGCCGCTCTTCTCGCAGCACACCGGGAACTTCGGCCTCGGCGTCACGAAAACAGCCGCGACGGGCACGCAGTTCGCCTTCCGCAACAACACGATCTACGACCAGAACTCGAACAACATCGCCTTCGGCGCGACCGCCGTCAGCGAGTGGAACACGAACTTCGAGGCGTTCTTCAGCCAGCCATTGCTGCAAGGCGCCGGCACGCAATACAACCGCATCGCCGGGCCGTTCACGTTCGACCAGTTTGCAACCAATGGCGTGAACCCGTTCGACGGCGTGGTCCTCGCCCGGATTCGGACGGACCTCACCCTGGCCGACTTCGAGGGGGGCGTCCGCAACCTGATGCGTGACGTCGAGCAAGCCTACTGGCAGCTCTACTTCACCTACCGCGACCTGGAAGCCCGCAAGATCGGCCGCGACAGCGCGTTGCAGACCTGGAAGCAGGTCGCCGCGCTCGCCCGCCAGGGCGCCCGTGGCGGTTCGGCCGACCGCGAGGCTCAGTCGCGTGCTCAGTACTTCCAGTTCAAGGCGCAAGTCGAAGAAGGCTTGTCGGCGCTCTACGCCGCCGAGAACCGGCTGCGATACATCATGGGTCTGTCGGTTTCGGACGGTCGCCTGATCCGGCCCGCCGACGAGCCGACCACCGCGATGGTGGCGTTCGACTGGAACGCGATTCACACCGAGTCGATCTCGCGACGGGTGGAGGTCCGCCGGCAGAAATGGACCGTCAAACAGCGTGAGCTGGAGCTGGTCGCCGCCCGCAACCACCTGCTGCCCCGCCTCGACGCTTTCGGCACGTACCGTTGGAACGGGGCCGGAGACAGGCTGTTCCAAGACTCTTCGCAGCTGCAAGCAGCGAACACCTTCGGTTCGTTCCGTCCCGGGACAGGGGCCTTCGAGTCGTTGACCACGGGCGATTTCCAAGAGTGGGAACTCGGCCTGCGGTTCAGCCTGCCGATCGGCTTCCGTCAGCAGCTCTCGACCGTCCGGCACCACCAGCTCTTGCTCGCCCGGGACCGGGCGCTGCTTCAAGACCTGGAGTTAGAAGTTTCGCACCAATTGGGCGACGCCCTCCGCGATTTGGACTTGAACTACGGGCTCACCGAAACAAACTTCAACCGTCGGGCCGCGGCCCAACGTGAGGTCGAGGCGGTCGAGGTTTCGTACGAAGCCGACCGCGTCACCTTCGACCTGCTGCTCGACGCCCAGCGTCGTCGCTCCGAGGCGGAGACGGCGTACTACCGCAGCCTCGTCGACTACAACCTCGCCATCCTCGACGTTCACTTCCGAAAGGGTTCCCTGCTCGACTACAACGGCGTCTTCCTCGCCGAGGGCCCGTGGCCCGGCAAGGCGTACTTCGACGCGATGCGTCGCGCCCGCAAGCGGGACGCCAGCGTCCAGCTCGACTACGGCTTCACGCGGCCGAACGTCTTCAGCCGCGGTCCGCACGCCCAACAGATCGACTCACACGTCGTCCCGCACGGCCAGGGCGTGCCGACGCCGGCCGCGATGCCGACCGAGGTCGAGTTGATCGAACCGGTGCCCGCCGAGGCGGACCTCGGGGCGAATGGGCAGCAGGGCCTGTTCGGCGCGCCGGGCGACACGAGCGGTCAACTCGCCGGCATGCCGACCGGCTACGAAGCCAACCAGCAGGCCACGTCCGTCACCGAGCCCCAACGATCGACGGTGACCCAGGTGTCGGCCGCGATCGATCCGAACGGCTCGCACGTGACAAACGCCTTGGCCGTCGAGCCCGTCGAAACGACCAACTATGAACGTCAAGCGGATCACACGGCTGGTCTCCCTGCTGCAGACGCTGCAGTCGGGGCAAGGTGAGAACGCCGAGGGACTGGCCGAGGCGTGCGGCGTCAGCCGCCGCACGGTGTTCCGCGACATCGAGTCGCTGAGAGAAGCGGGCGTTCCGGTCGAGTTCGACGCCGCCAAGCAGCAGTACCGGATCGACGCGGCGCACTTCTTGCCGCCCACGAACCTGACGCTCGACGAGGCGCTCGCCGTGGTGCTGCTCGCCGAGCGAGCCGCCGAGATCGAACAAGCGTCGGTCGTAGCAGCCGCAACCGGCGCGGCGGCGAAGCTGACGGCGGGCCTGCCCGGGTCGGTGCAAGACCGGCTGCGAGAAGCGGCCGAGGCGGTCGTCATCCGCCCCAGCCCGGCCAATCCGCTCGACTCCAAGGGCGACGTCTACCGGACGCTGCTCGACGGGACGATCGAGCAGCGGGTCGTCGGCGTCCACTACGACTGCCTGACCGAGTTCCAACAGTTCGAAACCAACCTCCACCCGTACCAGCTCCTCTTCCAAGAGCGAAGCTGGTACGTCGTCGGCCACTCGGTCCGCCACGGCGAGGTCCGCACGTTCAACGTCGGCCGCGTCGACGAAGCCGAACTCCGTGACGAGACGTTCGACCGGCCGGAGGACTTCAGCCTGAAGGACCACTTCGGCAACGCGTGGCGGCTGATCCCCGACGAGGGGCCCGACCAGGTGGTTCACCTCCGGTTCTCACGCCTGGTGGCCCGCAACGTGTCGGAGGTGCTCTGGCACCCGACGCAGCGGTGCGAGATCGCCGAGGACGGCACGCTCGACTTCTACGCGACGGTCTCGGGCCTGACCGAGATCATGTGGTGGATCCTCGGCTACGGCGACCAGGTCGAAGTCGTGAAGCCAACGCGGCTGCGCCAGATGGTCGGACGCCGGCTCGCGGCCGCGGCCCGGCGTTACGAGGCGGGCTGAGCGGGCGAGCCTCGGGGCGTTATAACGTCGCCCATGTTCTTCTCGTTCGACGGGATCGACGGCGTCGGCAAGAGCACGCAGTTGCGGCTCTTCGTCGAGTGGCTTGAGGGTCAAGGACGTCGCGTCGTCACTTGCCGCGACCCCGGCAGCACGCCGCTCGGTGAGACGGTCCGCGAGGTGCTGCTGCACAGCGGCGACGAACGGCGGATCGATCCCCGCGCCGAGATGCTGCTCTACATGGCGGCGCGGGCACAACTCGTTGACGAGGTGATCCGTCCCGCGATGGCGGACGGGGCGGTCGTCGTCTCCGACCGGTACCTGCTCGCGAATTTGGCCTACCAGGCGCACGCCGGCGGCCTCGACCGCGACGTCGTCGCGCAGGTCGGCGAAGCCGCGATCGCCGGCGTCCGGCCCGATCGGGTCTTCCTGCTGGACCTCGACCCGGATATCGCCGACGAACGAGTCGGCGCCTCACCCGATCGCATGGAAAGCCGCGGCGCCGAATATCGCCGGCGAGTCCGCGACGGCTTTCTCGCCGAAGCGAATCGAGCGCCCGATCAGGTCGCCGTGATCGACGCTTCGGGCACGGTCGAGGCGGTCCACGCCGCGATCCGTTCAATCGCCGAGCCTTTGCTCGAAACGTGAGGCGCGCTTAGGCGTCTTCAACGGCGGGCCGCTTTGTATTGGCGCCGCGCCGGTTCGCCAACGCGTCCGCGACGAGCACGAACACAAAGCTGAACACGGCGACGCCGAGACAGGCGAACGCCTGCGTGTCGAGCGCCGGCGGCCATATCGGTTCGAAGACCTTCGACTTGAACTCGACGACGTCGGGCGTCGTGTCCGCCTGGTACGGCCACACGCGGTAGAGCGAACCGATCATGAACCCGGCGAGCACGGCCATCGTCTCCGCCCAGTGTCGGCGGAGCAGCCACCGCAACAATCGGCTGAAGCTGAGCAGTCCCGTTAGACAGCCGGCGGCGAACACGAGCAGCGTCGCGAGGTCGCTCCCGGTGAAGTTCGGCAACCGGTGGACGATCGCCGAGATCTCCTCGTACTTGCCGAGGATGAGCAGCAAGTAGGCGCCGCTGATCCCGGGCAGGATCATCGCGCAGATCGCGACCGCCCCGCAGAAGAACGTGTACGCCAGATTGTCGGCGGGCGTCAGCCGGCCTTGGCTCATCAACCAGACGGCCACGGCGGCGGCGATGATGCCAAACGCCGTGCAACGAGCCGCTTGGACGGGGCTGGCGGGCCGGGCCATCCGCGCGACCAGGATGCCCGAGGCCAGGATCAGCCCGAAGAACGCGGCGTAGGTGAGCGTCTGCTGCTCGGTCAGCAGGTAGGTCATCGCGCTGGCCAGCCCCTTTACGCCTGCGGCGACTCCTAGGCCCAGCAACACGAGAAAACGCCCGTCCACGTGCCGCCAGGCCCCGGCCAAGTCGCCGCTTCCGACCAGCCGCAGGGCGCGCGAGCCGATCTTCGACAGGGCGGCCAACAATCGTTCGTAGACGCCGAGGATCAGCGCCACGGTGCCGCCCGAAACGCCCGGCACGATGTCCGCGGCCCCCATGGCCAGGCCGGTCAGGGCGACGCGCCATCCCGCGCGAGGCTGACCTTCGGCGTCAGCATCCCCTCTGGCGGGGGTAGAGGGAGCGGAGTCTCGGTCGTGGTTTTCAGTCGGCATGGAGTTGCGCATCGGGCCCGATTCGGCCTCCATTCTGCGCGTCGGTCTAAGGCGTGGGCACCGCCACGGAGCCCGGATCAGGAGGTTAGCAGCCGGCGACGAGCACGGAAAACGGCCGCTCGGCCCGGTCGGCACCCCGCCGATGTGAATTGACGCAAGCAAGCGGTCTCCGTACAGTCCATCGGGAAAGCCTTGACAGGTTCAGGGGAATTTGCATCCCGCACGACGGGTGTTCTTGATCGCTGCGAAACAGGAGTCGCTACCCCAGGTTTGCTACACCCTAGTCGAGCCGCCCGGATGGCTTCTCGGCCGCCTCATCAACGCCGGACCTTGCCGAAAGCATGATCGCGTCCCGTTCGGTCTCCCGATGCACGTTGCACGCACCGGCGAAGCTGAACCTGCGTCTGGACCTTCTGGGGCGGCGCAGCGACGGTTTTCACGAGCTCAAGACCGTCATGGCGACGGTGGGCCTCTACGACTCGCTACGGGTCGAATCGACGCCGGATTCTCCCGATATCGGGCTGCGAGTCGTGGGCCATCACGGGCGGCCTGACGACAGCCCGGCTGTCGAGCAGATTCCCGCCGATGAATCGAACTTAGTCTGCCGCGCCTTGCGTGAACTGCAGGCCGAATCCGGCCGTCCGATCGGCGCCCAAGCGACCCTCTGCAAGCGGATCCCCAGCCAGGCGGGCCTCGGGGGCGGGTCGAGCGACGCCGCCGCCGCGCTCGTGGCGGGCAACCGCGTCTGGGGGCTCGGCTGGTCGATCGACCGACTCGCGGAGATCGGCGCCCGACTCGGCAGCGACATCCCGTTCTTCGTCCACGCGATCGGAAACCCGAAGTCGAGAGCGGCGCTCGCCGCCGGACGCGGTGAGAAGGTGACGCCCTTCGCGTGCCGCGGCGGGCTGGGCGCCGTGATCGTCAAACCGCCCGCGGGGCTTTCGACGCCGGCGGTCTACGCGGAGTGCGACCCCGTCGATTACACCGAACCGTCGGACGCGGGGGCGTGCGAAGACCTTGCCGGCTGGCTAAGGCGGGGGCGCCTCGATCGGATCGCCCGTCTTGTACGCAACGGCCTTCAACCGGCCGCAGGGCGACTCGCGCCGTGGATGGACCGAATCGTCCAAGCCTTCGACTCAACCGGCTGTGCCGTTCATCAGCTTTCGGGAAGCGGTTCGGCCTACTTCGGCTTGGTTCCGTCGGTTGCGGCATCGCGCAGGGTGGCGGCGAGGCTGCGGGCCCTCCGTCTTGGGCAATTGTACGCAACGGCAATTGGGTGAGATTCAGACGACTGAACCAACAAACGGCGTGTAACGCAGGCAAAGATAGAGGGTGTCGTTAGAGAACCAGCGAGCTTAGCGGGAGCCCGGCGTCGCAGGGGAGCGCGGGGGGCGGATAACCAGGAGCGACGGCTGTGACCATCACCGAGGTCCGAATCAAGTTGATGGACGAACCGGGTGAGCGCCTCCGCGCGTTCTGCTCGATCACCTTCGATGACTGCTTCGTCGTCCGTGACCTGAAGATCATCGAAGGCGCGAGCGGCCTGTTCGTCGCCATGCCCAGCCGGAAGCTCACGGCCCACTGCGGCAAGTGCGGGATGAAGAATCACCTGCGCGCCAACTTCTGCAACCAGTGCGGGGCCAAGCTGGCCGAGGGGAGGATCATCAAGGACGCCGACGGCCGCACCAAGCTCTACGCCGACATCGCCCACCCGATCAACTCGTCGTGCCGCGAGATGATCCAGAACCGGGTGGTGTCCGAGTACCACGACGAGTGCGAGCTCGCCAAGTCTCCGGACTACGTCTCGCGCTACGACGACTTCGACGCGGGCGACTACATCGCCGGCGAAGGCGAGACGCACTCCAACCGGCGTGTCGACACGGCCCACGCCTCCACCGCGGCGAACCGTCCGCACCACCCGCCACAGGGCGATCGCGCCACGACCGGCGTGTCGCAAAGCCCTCACACCCCCCCGGCGAACTCTTCGGCCGGTGGCAACCACACGGGCGCCTCCGAGAACGAGAGCGCGCGAGGGTCGAACGAGAGCGCCGGCTTCGGCGACGGGATCTTCTAGCGCCGAACTGGCGTCGAGCGGCCGGCGCATCACGCATTCGGCGATCCGCCGAGTCCGCCTATTTTACCCACTCTCCTTAAGGCACCTCGACTGCCTTCCCGATAGAGTTGGTGTGCTGGCGCCTCGTGTGTCGTCGCGTCGCGTCAAGGGAGGACGCGTTCGCGCGGGTGGACTTCTGCTCACGGGCGGCCAGCGCTCAGACACCAGAATCACGGAGGTTGGGGTGACGGAGTCGGCCGCTCAGGATTTTGTAGGCGACGGCGATCTGGCCGACCGCCTGAACCAAACGGTTCGAGAGACGCTAGCGGCTAAGTGCCGGCTGTTGCCCGACACGGTCCGGATGACCTGCCAGCCTGTCCTCCGGGGCGGCGAGCTGTGCGGCTTGCACTTCGCGCTGCGAGGGCCACGCGAGGTCTTGTTGACGGCCGTTTGGGTCGCCGCGACGGGCGTGCTGTGGTGCTACGACTCACGCGGCGTGCGATTCTCGACCGCGACGGTCGGCGGATCGTGTCGCGGCTCGAAAACTGTTTGACAAGCGAATCATCGATTACTATACATACAAACACCCAACGGATCGGGTGTTCATGTCACGGAGGTACAAGACGTCCATGCTCGTGCTCTCAAGGAAAGAAGCGCAACGCATCCGAGTCGGCGACTCGATCGTGGTGACCGTCGTCAAGATTGCTGGCGACAAAGTTCGGGTCGGGATCGAGGCGCCCAGCGACGTGCTGGTGTTGAGAGACGAGCTCGAGGCGTGGGACGCCCCCGCCGCGGCGCCGCGTTGCGACGGGCGAGCGAAGACCGAGGCGCCGGCTCAGCCGCTGCGGCAGATCGCCTAGTCTCGAGCGGATGGCTGCGACAGGCCCTTCGCCGTTTGGGCGCGATCAGCGGGAGAGGGCCTCGGGGGCAGGGTGACCCATCCGCGTGAGGACGGCACAATCTGGGAGGAACGACCCGGCCGCAGCGGCCGTCCCCTCCTCGCGAAGCGTCACCCATGCAGCAAGACGATCTCCGGGTCCCGGTTCTCGGCCAGCGGGATGTCAAATCGCCGCTCGAGCACCGTCGCTTCACCCCCGACACGGCCCGGCTGCTGGTCGACATCGACCTCGACGAGGGCGCCACGCCGTCGTCGCTCGCGTTCGAGAAAGCAGGCCCGCGCGAGGCGGTCCACTTCCGCCCCGAACAGAGCGCCGCGGCGGTCGTGACTTGCGGCGGCCTCTGCCCGGGGCTGAACAACGTCATCCGGCACCTCTACTACGCGTTGCGGCACTCGTACGGCGTGCCGCGCGTGCTCGGCGTGCGGCACGGATACGTCGGCATGACGCCCGACGCGCCGCTCGAGCCGCTCGAGCTGACGGCCGACTACGTCGAGGCGATCCACCACGTCGGCGGCACGATGCTCGGCACGTCGCGTGGGCACCAAGACCCGGCGGTGATGGTCGACTGGCTCGTCGACCGGGGGGTGAACCTTTTGTTCCCAATCGGCGGCGACGGCACACAGCGGGGCGCTCACGCGATCGCCGCGGAGGTCGCGCGGCGCGGCCTCGACATCGCGGTCGTCGGCGTCCCGAAGACGATCGACAACGACATCCAGTTCTGCTTTCAGACGTTCGGCTTCTTGTCGGCCGTCGCCGAGGCGGAACGCGTCATCGACCGTGCACACGTCGAGGCGAAGAGCGTCGAACGGGGCGTCGGCCTCGTGAAGCTCATGGGCCGCGAGGCCGGCTTCATCGCGGCGGCAGCGACCGTCGCTTCGGGCGAAGTCAACTTCTGCCTCATCCCGGAGGAGCCGCTCGACCTGGAAGGCGAGCGTGGTTTGCTGGCCCGGCTTGGCAGGCGGCTCGACGCGCGGGGCCACGCGATCGTGGTCGTCGCCGAGGGCGCCGGCCAGGATCAGATCGACAACGCCGACCACACGGCCCGCGACAAGTCGGGCAACCGCAAGCTCGCCGACGTTGGCCCCTGGCTGAAGGAGCGCATCAGCGAGCACTTCTCGGCGATCGGCAAGCCGGTCGGCATGAAGTACTTCGACCCGAGCTATTACATCCGCAGTGTCGCGGCGAACGCGGCCGACAGCTTGCTGACCGAGCGGTTCGCCCGCCACGCCGTCCACGCCGCCATGGCAGGAAAAACCGACCTGTTCGTCGGCTACTGGAACGGCCGGGTCGTCCACGTGCCGCTCGCCGCCTCGGTCGGGCAGAAGCGACGCCTCGAGCCCGACAGCGAGCTCTGGTCGGCCGTTCTGGCGATCACGGGCCAAAACCGCTGGTGACAGCGGCCCTTTTCTTGGCCCCCGTGCCGAGGCCCTGTGCTGGGGCTCTGCGCTGGCCACGCTTGCCGCAGCGGGGGATCGCCCCAAGACTGGCTGTGAAGCCGGGCCTTGGCGCGGCGGTTACCCCAAGACGCCCCCAGTTTCACGCCCGCACGCCATGCCTGCCCGCTTTCCGGCGTTGATCGCCACGCTGATCGCCTTGCTGCTGGCGGGCCAGCATCGCTGCCACGCCGCGAGCGTCGTGGGCGACTTCACGCTGCCCGACGCTTACGGGGCCGAGCGCTCGCTCTCCGACTACGCCACGGCCGACGCCATCGTCGTCGTGTTCCTCGGCGTCGAGTGCCCGCTTGCCAAGCTGTACGGCCCACGCCTCGCGGAGCTTGCCGGAGATTATGCCGATCGCAACGTCGCTGTCGTCGGCGTCAACGCGAACCGTCAGGACTCGCTCACCGAGCTCGCCGCTTACGCTCACCGGCACGGGATCGAATTCCCGCTGCTGAAAGACAACCGAGCCGTCGCCGTCGAGTCGTTCGGGGCGACGCGCACGCCCGAGGCGTTCGTCCTCGACCGCGAAAGACAAGTCCGCTACCGCGGCCGAATCGACGACCAGTACGACGTCGGCGTCGTGCGCGACGAACCGACGCGCCGCTTCGTCCGCGAAGCGCTCGACGCGGTCCTCGCCGGCCGTGACGTCGAGACGCCCGAAACCCGCGCCGTCGGCTGCTTCATCGGCAAGCCGCGCGAGCCCGAAGCCGACGCGGCGGTCACTTACAGCGAACACGTCGCGCCGATCCTCGAGCAACACTGCGTCGAGTGCCACCGCGACGGGGAGATCGCCCCGTTCGTGCTCCGAGGCTACGACGAGGTAGCCGGCTGGGCCGACACCATCGCCGAGGTCGTGCGTGATCAACGGATGCCGCCTTGGCACGCCAACCCCGCACACGGCGCGTTCGCGAATCAGCGCGTCCTGACCGACGACGAGAAGCAAACGCTCTACGCCTGGGCCGAGGCCGGCGCGCCCGAAGGCGACGCCTCGCTGTTGCCCGCGCAGCGGACCTTCGTCGAGGGCTGGCGGCTGCCAAAGGAACCCGACCTTGTCGTTGCGATGAGCGATGAGCCGTACCGCGTCGCCTCGCAAGGCGTGATCGACTACCAGTACTTCGCGGTCGACCTCGGCTTCACCGAAGACAAGTGGATCCAGGCGGCCGACATTGTGCCGGGCGACCGCTCGGTCGTGCACCACGTGATCGTCTTCGTCAGCCCGCCGATCGACCGCGCGCAACGCGGCCTCGGCTGGCTCACGGCGTTCGTGCCGGGGCAGAGCGCGATGCGACTGCCCGAGGGCCGCGCGCGGCACATACCCGCCGGCTCGAAGCTCGTGTTTCAGATGCACTACACGCCGACCGGCGCCGAGGCGGAGGACCTCACGAAGATGGGCCTCGTCTTCGCCGATCCCGACACGGTCACCGAAGAAGTCGTCACGCTCGAGGCGGTGAACTCGAAGTTCGAGATCCCGCCCGGCCACCCGGAGTACCGCGTCGCCGCGACACGCGAGTGGTTCCCCGACGGCGCGACCCTGATCGGCCTCGGCCCGCATATGCACTACCGCGGCAAGTCGTTCCGCATGACCGGCGTCTGGCCGGAAGGCCGCCGCGACGTGCTGCTCGACGTGCCTCGCTACGACTTCAACTGGCAGACGAACTACCGGCTCGCACAGCCGATCGACCTGCCGAGCGGGTTCGCCATCGAGTGCGAAGCCGCGTTCGACAACTCCGAGGGCAACCCGTTCAACCCCGACCCGACGATCGCCGTCCGTTGGGGCGACCAGTCGTTCGAGGAGATGATGCTCGCGTTGTTCGAGGTCGCCGCGCCGCGCGGCACGTTCGACCGACCGGCGAGCAGCAAACCGACCGACGGCCAACGTGCCGAGGCCCGGGCCCTCGCCCAGCGGCTCTTCGACAAGCACGACAACGGCGACGGCGAGCTGGTCCGCAACGAGCTGCCGCACGCGTTCGCCGTTTTCGCGTTCGACCGCTACGACCTCGACAACGACCAACGGCTGACCGAAGACGAGGTCTTCGAGTCGGCGCTGGCTAACGTCACGCGGCGTCTGTAGTCGGCCGTAACTTGGTGATCCCATCCGGGCGCTGACGCTTCCGGCTAGCCCGCAAGACCGCCCCGCATGGAAACGATCGCCGATCTCTTCGTCCGCTTCCGGCACGCGATCGGCTGGATGCTGCTGGCGGTGACGGTCGTCGCATCGCTCGGCTATGTCTTGCCAGCAAGCTCGACGCACCCGCTCGAGCGGTACGAGATCCCGCTGGAGGACGACCCGCCGACGCAGAGCGAGCGGGTCCAGTCGCGGTTCAACCTCGGCTCGAGCGACGCCTTCCTGATCGTCCGGCGGGACGACCTGTTCACGCCCGACGGGATCGCCGCTGTGCGGCGGATGGTGACGGCCGTCGAGGGGCTCGAGTTCGTCGACAGCGTCTTCTGGATCGACCGCGTGCCGATCCTCAACGTGTTCGGCATCGCCGACCCGCTCGTCCCGCCGAACGAGGCGACGCCCAAAGCGTTCCGCGACGCAGAAACACGCCTCCGCGCGCACCCGCTCGCCGGGCAGCTCATCTCCGAGGACGGCCGCTCGCTGTTCATGCCGATCGTCTACGACTGGCTCCGGCTGGAAGACGACTCGACGGCTTCGGAGCAGATCCTCGCCGCGGCGCGC